CCCGTCCCCGTCCCTCTGCATGCAGCGTGGCGGGGCCCTCATCAAGAAGTGGGGGCGGTCGTCAGCAGCATCCACGGCTGTGTCACTAGTGGACGCCATCAAAGCGCTCACCACACCCACGCCCGAGGGAGACTGGTTCTCATCGGGCGTGTACACCAAGGGGAACACCTACGGCATCGATGACGACCTCATCTTCAGCCTGCCCTGCCGCTCCAAGGTGCGTGCCACCTCTGCCATGCCATGCCATGCCATGCCATGCCATGCCGTGCCATGCCGTGCCATGCCCTGCCGTGCCATGCCATGCCCTGCCGTGCCGTGCCACGCCATGCCATGCCATGCCATGCCATGCCATGCCATGTCGTGCCATGCCATGCCATGCCATGCCATGCCATGACATGCCATGCCATGCCATGCCATGTCATGACACGCCATGCCATGCCATGCTATGTCATGACGTGCCATGCCGTGCCAGGCATCTCATCTCACCATGCTTTGCCATGCGGCAGAAGGGAGCAGTAGGATGAGATCCTCCCGCCCTGCCACCCATGCATCGAGTTCCCTGAGAGAGAGGCGCACCACCACGCCCACTGCTGCTCCAATGACCGGTTTCGCTCACAGGTGTGCCTCACGGCCTCGCGGGTGTGCCTCACGGCCTGGAAACCTGACCGGTTCCGCTCGCTGCTATGCCCCAGGGGCAATGGAATGGCTCCCCTTCCCAATCTGACTGGTCTGCCATGCCCCTCCCCTCCCATGCTCATCATGCCCCTCCCATGCTCATCATGCTCCGTCCACCTCGCTCACCTCTACCCCTGGTGCTGCCCCTCCATCCCCTCTCTCTGCTTGCCATGCTGGCAGGGCGACGGTGACTACGAGGTGGTGTCCGGGCTCATAGTGGACGATTATCTGCGCGCTCGCATCAACAAGGTGAGAGGAGAGAGGGGGGGAGAGGTGGTGGTGGTGGTGGTGGTGGTGCAGGAGTGACTGCGCAAGAAGGGACATCAGGGCACGCAGGTACGAGGTGGTGTCTGGGCTCATAGTGGACGATTGCCTGCGCGCTCGCATCAACAAGGTGAAGGGGGAGGGAGCATCAAGGTGAAGGGGAGAGAGAAAAAGGGGAATGCATGGAGAAGGGAGGGGGAATCACAAAGGTTAGGGGGAATGCATGGAGAAGGGAGGGGGAATCACAAAGGTTAGGGGGAATGCATGGAGAAGGGAGGGGGAATCACAAAGGTTAGGGGGAATGCATGGAGAAGGGAGGGGGAATCACAAAGGTTAGGGGGAATGCATGGAGAAGGGAGGGGGAATCACAAAGGTTAGGGGGAATGCATGGAGAAGGGAGGGGGAATCACAAAGGTTAGGGGGAATGCATGGAGAAGGGAGGGGGAATCACAAAGGTTAGGGGGAATGCATGGAGAAGGGAGGGGGAATCACAAAGGTTAGGGGGAATGCATGGAGAAGGGAGGGGGAATCACAAAGGTTAGGGGGAATGCATGGAGAAGGGAGGGGGAATCACAAAGGTTAGGGGGAATGCATGGAGAAGGGAGGGGGAATCACAAAGGTTAGGGGGAATGCATGGAGAAGGGAGGGGGAATCACAAAGGTTAGGGGGAATGCATGGAGAAGGGAGGGGGAATCACAAAGGTTAGGGGGAATGCATGGAGAAGGGAGGGGGAATCACAAAGGTTAGGGGGAATGCATGGAGAAGGGAGGGGGAATCACAAAGGTTAGGGGGAATGCATGGAGAAGGGAGGGGGAATCACAAAGGTTAGGGGGAATGCATGGAGAAGGGAGGGGGAATCACAAAGGTTAGGGGGAATGCATGGAGAAGGGAGGGGGAATCACAAAGGTTAGGGGGAATGCATGGAGAAGGGAGGGGGAATCACAAAGGTTAGGGGGAATGCATGGAGAAGGGAGGGGGAATCACAAAGGTTAGGGGGAATGCATGGAGAAGGGAGGGGGAATCACAAAGGTTAGGGGGAATGCATGGAGAAGGGAGGGGGAATCACAAAGGTTAGGGGGAATGCATGGAGAAGGGTGGGGGAATCACAAAGGTTAGGGGGAATGCATGGAGAAGGGTGGGGGAATCACAAAGGTTAGGGGGAATGCATGGAGAAGGGAGGGGGAATCACAAAGGTTAGGGGGAATGCATGGAGAAGGGAGGGGGAATCACAAAGGTTAGGGGGAATGCATGGAGAAGGGAGGGGGAATCACAAAGGTTAGGGGGAATGCATGGAGAAGGGAGGGGGAATCACAAAGGTTAGGGGGAATGCATGGAGAAGGGAGGGGGAATCACAAAGGTTAGGGGGAATGCATGGAGAAGGGAGGGGGAATCACAAAGGTTAGGGGGAATGCATGGAGAAGGGAGGGGGAATCACAAAGGTTAGGGGGAATGCATGGAGAAGGGAGGGGGAATCACAAAGGTTAGGGGGAATGCATGGAGAAGGGAGGGGGAATCACAAAGGTTAGGGGGAATGCATGGAGAAGGGAGGGGGAATCACAAAGGTTAGGGGGAATGCATGGAGAAGGGAGGGGGAATCACAAAGGTTAGGGGGAATGCATGGAGAAGGGTGGGGGAATCACAAAGGTTAGGGGGAATGCATGGAGAAGGGTGGGGGAATCACAAAGGTTAGGGGGAATGCATGGAGAAGGGAGGGGGAATCACAAAGGTTAGGGGGAATGCATGGAGAAGGGAGGGGGAATCACAAAGGTTAGGGGGAATGCATGGAGAAGGGAGGGGGAATCACAAAGGTCAGGGGGAATGCATGGAGAAGGGAGGGGGAATCACAAAGGTTAGGGGGAATGCATGGAGAAGGGAGGGGGAATCACAAAGGTTAGGGGGAATGCATGGAGAAGGGAGGTCGTGAGTAAGTTGCCTAGCAACGGCTCGCATCAAGAAGGTTCGAGAGGGGTGCAGGGAGGGATGGTGGTGGGTGGTGAGCGAGTCGCCTCACACGGAGGTGTGGGGCCAGAGTGGATGAGTACATGAGGAGACAAACAAAGGAGAGGAGTGAGGGAGACGGGTCACCGTGTCGCCCAATCTCACTCCACCCCTTTCACCACCCACCACCCTCGCCCACCACCCTCGCCCACCACCCTCGCCCACCACCACTCTTGTTGATGCAGACGGAGGACGAGCTACAGGCGGAGAAGAAGTGTGTGTCGCACCTCATCGGCCTCGTGAGTGCCCTTCATTGCTCCTCTGCTCCCCACCCACACCCCACGCGTGTTGCTGAGTCTGCCTGCCTAGTCTGTGAACCTTCCAGTCTGCCACATGAGTCTCAGTTGATTTGCCCCTTTCTTGGTTTCGCCAACTTGCTCGGCAATCTCCTGCTCTTGCTGCTGCACCGTTGCAATAAAGGGGTGCAGAGGCAGATGCATGCACACATACATGCATGCACACATACATGCATGCACACATACATGCATGCACGCACACATGCATGCACCCATGTCGTGTCTTTGCATGCATTGATGTGCATGTGCTCTCATACCACACGCTTCTTCCCATCCCTTGCATGTGCTGAATCCCCATGGCAGGACAACGGCTACTGCGACCTGCCAGAGGGCGACACCATGCTGCCTGGCGAGCAATGATTGCCGTGCAGCTTTGTTTGTCTTGTACAGCACTCTTTGTTGTGCACCACTCACTGTCTTGTACAATATCATCTTTTACCGGTTCCTGCCTGTATCCTACACACAACTGTTGACTATTTAGGTCACCTCAACACAGCTAGCAAGCAGGCTCTGCTTTACAGTCTCTGCTTTCCTGCTCTAATTGATCAACTAGCTGCTACTCGTATAATCACCCTATGGATTCATAATTTCACATGTCTGATATATTATCTACTGGTTGTAACTTTCTATGGCTAATTCTCTTCGAATGGTACCGTAATTAATCTTCTGTTTCTCTACTTGTAGAGACCCGAAACCCATTACTCACGGCTGCACACTCCGAAGGACCATATTCATAATTCACGAATCCCGGTCAGCGTATCATGCTTGCCTGTTAGCTAAGTCCTTGAAAAATATGCCTTTCCTTTCCATGACAAATCGTCGCTGCCTCTTCCTTTCAACCTGGGAAATCAGGACTCCAGATGGCAACAACAACCTAAAGAATTCTACACACGTTGCAGGGGATGCGCAGTTAGCAGTCAGTTCCAGGTGCAAACGCTAGCTTGATGGGTGATCACAGCAGCATGAGGAGATCCTTGTGGTGCCATTGATACGTTACAGCAGCCGCGAAAGAAGGAGATGATGGCATCTGAGTTGTACAAACAGCCTGCACACGTCCCTCCCCTCCCCGCAAGCCACATGACGTATGGAAGCCTGGTGCACTGTGCGTGGCATGGGGCGGCATCTGAAGTGTCGGATGGTCCACACGAGGTCGCCGGACAGATACAGACATGCTTGTATCATCACACCCGCACAGTAGGCGCATTTCTTCTCGCGAGAACGAGCCACTTTCAGCTGCTGCTCAATGCACCGTGCTGCACCGCAATCCACCCGACTGCTAAACCTGTTTGTAACGTCAGCGGTTGTGCTCTGACGTGCGTCCAGCACCTGACAGAATCAACGGTCCTGCAGCTCCGAATCTCAGGCCACCGATTGAGAGGATCAACGGTCTGCGGGGGTCCATGACCTGTGGCAGTGCATGACTGGCTGGCCGCCTGACGGCCTAACCTCCTGACCGCTTAACCACCTGACGGCCAAACCATCAGTCAGCTTAACGGCAGACAAGATGGCTGGCTGCTTAGACGGGAGTTGATGGCCGGCTGATGAGGTTAATCCGCTCTGGCAGCCGCGGTGGGTTCGCTTCGGTGACTCAAGCGCTTTGCTGCGACTCGTGTGCGACCACCTCGCGCGACGACAGGCAGACGGCTGCTCTGTCTGCTACCAACGCGTTTAGACGGGCGAAATGCGACGTGTGGCGACGGCAACGTGCGGCGGCGGGCGACGGTCGACGTGCGACGAAGGTCAACGGGCGGCAGCCAGAGAGATGGATCAGCCATCGCTGGGCGTAACCGCGGAGTCTTCCGACAAAAGCGCTAGTGCTTCCCGCACTACGCGCCGCGTGGCGTACCGCGGGCCCAGCGCGAACACGGGGTCCGCGCCCTCCATCTCCGCCACCGCCGCCACAAACTCCTCCGCGGGCCCGCGTTGCGCGCAACCGCGCGATTTTCCGCTCAACCCTCTGTTTTTTCGCAGCAGCGCGGAGCCCACGCCGCTGTTGCATTCGGCCCATTCGTCCGCTTCCTCCGCATCTTCCCCCGTTCGCTTGGGGCACCGTCCGCTTCCCCCGTGTCGTCTTCCGCCTCCGGAATGGCGCAGAGCGCGGGGGGAGGGCCCGACTCCACCAGCAGCTGCACCAGCGCCAGGCGCACGAGCTCGCGCTCCCCCGCTTCCGCCGTCGCCGCTGCGGCCGCTGCCGTTAGCCGAGGCTCGCGCCCAATGTTTCTCTTACGCGCGGAGCGAATCTCGCGAATGAGCTGCTCCGCGGTGCACGGCGCCTTGCCCTGCACGCGCTCCTCGGGCGGCACGAGTGTCTTTAATCTCTGCCGGATGTGGCTCGCCCAGCGGACGCGACGCGCCTCCGCGGATTCCTTCGGCGGGAAATGCCAGTGTTGCTGCGCGTCGTCGTCCTCGTCCCAGGGGTTCAAGTAGGACGTGAAGAGGCTGACGAAAACCGCGAGACCCGTCGCGGAGCTTACGGCGAGCGAGATGGGGTCGGGCGCTACGAACAACATGATGGAAGATGGTAATGAAAGGGTGAAGTTCAGGAAACGATGACACAGGGGTTGAACAACAACAATTTTCGAGAATTGTCAATGATGCCAAATGGTGATTGTTGGTGATAGCCAAATGGTGATTGTATGTGGAGTGGACCAGCACTGATGGGTGATGTGATGGCGCTGCTGATGCTGGCGTGGGTGTGACAAGTCTGTGCCATCAAAGCCTACGCTATGAAGCACAGCTGTCGGCGACGCGCGTAAGGTCAGGCGATAGCGAAACGGTGCAGATGTTTTTTCTTCCGCCACGTTTGCTGTGCGGAAGTGGGCTGCCCGCCTACCATTGTGTGGTCGCGCGCTGCCCGCACCGGTCGCCTGCTTGCTGCCGAATGCAGTTGATTTGCCGATGGGGAACGCTTGCGACAACATGGGCAGGGCACTTTCGAGAGAAGCAAAAGTTTATGCGGGGAATGGCTGGGGAAGGCTGGGGAAGGGTGAGGGGCAAAGGGAAAAAACATCTGCCATGTTACCCGCCGAACCCGACCGAAACCATCCGCGGCGCGTCCCGTAACCTGAAGCACTGCAGCCTAGGCTTGGTGTTGGTTCTGGTTTGGAAGATGTACAGCCGAGTCGCTGATACACAGATGTTTGTCGATTGGGGGGTGCAAAAGTGACCCAATCAAAAGGCAGCCATGACGCACCGCATGTTGGTCTGGTCTGGTGTGGTGACAAGGCAGTCCGTTTCCGTTTCAGGTCAGATAGGCAAGGGAGTCGCACCAGGTGATGTAAAAACCCAGATCAGGTGGTTCTGTTCCTATACGCATTGTAATGGCATCCGCAACACTGGAGGAAACCACTCATCATACATTTCTCAACATCATGTGCAGTTGCATACAAAAGTGAATGCACCCAAGTGGTGCAACACTCAATCGCCCTTACAGAATTGAGATTTGGAAATATATACCATACGCCTAATTTGGACTACCTAGGTTAGCATAACACTACCTAAACTCAGTATACCCATAGCTACTACCGTATCCGCTTGCGCCAAACCCAGTCGGCAGGTTATACGGGCTACTGTTGTTCCCACCTGTTGCCCCCATGGTACTCCGCCCTCCTCCCTGCACTGTGTTACCCGGTTGAGCTGATGCAGTTATTCTCCCCGACGCATCGCCTTGAGGTTGCAGGAGGGCCGACTGGGACGAATCGTTGACAAGGGAGGAATCGCGTGGGAAGGATGGGTCGTACGGCAACGATTCGTCTCGAGGCATGGAGGCATCCCGAGGCAAAGGCTGGGTTTCTGGGGCTTGGGTGTGCGCGTGTGATTGGTCGGGAGGTGCGAGAGGGTCGGAGGTGGGTGGAGCTGTGTATTGGGCGAATGAATATGGTGGGGGTGGGGGAGGATAGGGCTGGGACGAGCTTTGGGGGTAGGGTTGGGACGAGCTTTGGGGATAGGGTTGGGAGGACTGCAAGGCATGATGTGTCGCCGCCGAGCCTGCGGCGTAGGCTAGGACTGGAGGTCCCACCATGACGGAGGATAGGGCCGAATCGTCCTGTTGCTTGTACATACTGCGAGGGTGCAGGGGAAGGGGTGGGGGAGGTGAGCAGGGAAGGAGGGAAGAGGGTAAACTGAGACGAGTGGAGGGGCGAGGAACAGGAGTGATACAGAAAACTGGTCTCTCCTTAACCCTGCTCCTGCTCCTGATGGGCAGGGTTGGGAATGTGGTTCATGGGAGAGGGCCACGGGGAATGTGGTTCATGGGAGAGGGCCACGGGGAATGTGGTTCATGGGAGAGGGCCACGGGGAATGTGGTTCATGGGAGAGGGCCACGGGGAATGTGGTTCATGGGAGAGGGCCACGGGGAATGTGGTTCATGGGAGAGGGCCACGGGGAATGTGGTTCATGGGAGAGGGCCATGGGGAATGTGGTTCATGGGAGAGGGCCACGGGGAATGTGGTTCATGGGAGAGGGCCATGGGGAAGCGAGGAGGCGTGTTTGTGGAGTGGGGCAAGGCAGTAGGCGAGAGTGTGAGCAACGCTGATGATGTTGGCAGCATGGAGGAGCGGCTGTTGCACCGCCTGGCATGTGCTCAATGCTGAAACCAGCGCACTCATTTGCACATGCATGCCCGCTCCTAAGTGTTCCCCCCCTGCCGGCTTTGCCAGCTCACCTGTTGTCGCCCTTGCCACCATCAGGCAGGCAGCGCGTGGCACGGAAGACATAGAAGGGAGCAACATCCCACCCCCCTTTCAGCACCTCACCCTGGTTGCCCTCACCCTGGTTGCCCTCACCCTGGTTGCCCTCACCCTGGTTGCCCTCACCCCCTCAAGCCTCTCACCTGTCAGCACCCTTGCCACCATCGGGCAGGCAGCGCATGGCACGGAAGACATAGAGAGGAGCTGCCACAGCCACCACCATTGCTCCCACGGCCAGCACCATGGCTCCCGTCCACAGCAGCACTGCTGCACTCTGCACCCCCGATGCTGCCCCGCCTACATACTGGTGGGTGGGGGAGAAAGAGAGGGATAAATAGAGAAAGAAGACGAGTTGAGTCTGCATCACCACCCATAATGCCACGGCCATTGCTCCCACGGCCATGGCTCCCACGGCCAGCACCATGGGTCCACACAGCTCATTGTGGGCTCTGACGCGCTCTGCTCTCCTGCTGCTGCCCCTCCCCTCCTACGTACTGGTGGGGGTGAGGGGGGAGAGGGATGACGTAGGGGGGGTACACTAATTGCATTAGGATGACCACACCCCGCAAGTGTCCCCCCCACACAGCCCACACCTTGGTGACCCTGGAGGGACGTGCATGCAAGCAAGTTGCGCAGGGGAGTCAGTAGCGGCACTGCTGCCTTGTACAGCAGCGCTCTCACCAGCTATGCAATGTACCGCTTGCCACGCACTGCTCTCTCACACCCCACAGGTCTCGCCTCACCCACTCATCCACACAAGCGCACCTTGGCGACCCTAGAGTCGTGCATGCGAGCAGTTGGAGACACACGGGAGTCACTAGCGCCACTGCTGCCTTGTACAGCAGCAATCTCACCTATATGCACTGCACAGCTCGCCTTGTACCTCCCACCCTCAACAGCCTGTCGTACCTTGGCGACACAGGGGACGTGCAAGCAGTTGAAGAGGCCGGCAGCGAAGCGCCACTGCCACCTATGCACCGCACTGCACCGCTCGCCCATCCACTGCTCACCCCCTCCCTCCTATCCCCCACGCCTCAACTTGGCAACACTGGAGACGTGCGAGCAGTTGGAGAGGCCGGCCACTAGCGGCACGGCAGCGCTCGCTAACCACTGCCCACCCAAATCCAACCACTACCCACCCAATCCAACCACTGCCCACCCAATCCAACCACTGCCCACCCAATCCAACCACTGCCCGCACTCTCCAACCACTGCCCGCACCCTCCCCTCAGGTCTCACTCCCGCCTCACCTTGGCAACGCTAGAGACGTGCGAGCAGTTGGAGAGGGCGGTGACAAGCGGCACTGCCACCTACGTACTCCCAGCCCCTACTCCCAACCCCTACTCCCAACCTCCCCCCACTTGTCCACAACCCCCTCCCATCCCTCCCCAACAGCCCACGCCTCACCTTGGCAACGCTAGAGACGTGCGAGCAGTTGGAGAGGGCGGCCACGAGCGGCACGGAGCCGTCCAGTCGGTCGACGGAGATCCATGCGAGGCGCACGTCCTTCGCCACTGCTGCCGGCAGCATGTCCAATGGGGGCTTCCCGTCCTTGCCCCTGGGACAGCCTGAGTCCGGACAGGTCACCTCCGGGAGCAGCTGTGGGCGTTGGGAGGGGGAGAGTGGAGGAATGTGGGGGCGGATGGGAGAGGATGGCACATGCCGTGCAACTGCTGCCGGCATCATGTCCAATGGGGGCCTCCCGTCCTTGCCCCTGAGACAGCCTGAGTCCGGACAGGTCACCTCCGGGAGCAGCTGTTGAGGTGGGGAGGTGGGGGGGATGGGGGTGGGGAAATGAGGGGCACAGCACAGCCAGCACGGCCACTAGTAGCACAGCAGCATTCAGGCGGTCGACAGTGATCCATGCCAGGCGCACGTTCCGAGCCACTGCAGCTGGCAGCTGTGGGTGGGGAGAGGGGAGCAGCTGTGGGCGGGGAGAGGGGAGGGCGTGGGGGAGGAGAGGGGAGGGCGTGGGGGAGGAGAGGGAGGGGAGAGGGTGGTGGCGGGTTGAGGCGCAGCCACCACGACACAACAAAACAGGTAAGTATGGCCGGCAACTTGTGTGAGTTGAGTACAACAAACACCAAATGAGGGAAACAGTGGGGTTGCTACCACCCATTGCCCCAGTTACCTTCCTTCCAAGCTTGCATAGTAACATGCCAATGCTGCCCGTTCACCACCTACCTAGTTTTTCCCTGTCAGAAACGATTCTGCCGTTGCTCTAGTTTTGCTCGTTCCCACCTTTCAGCTGGCAGAAGCGGTCTCGTTGTGCAGGCCGTGTGGGTGGGGGTGTGAAGCGTGGGGGGGGGAGGGGGATGGGGGAGAGAGGATTGGGGGGATGGGGGCGAAGGGCGGCAGATGCCTACTGGCTGGAGATGAGATGCTACCATGTTCCGTGTTCTTACATCTTTCAACTGGCGGAAGGAGATGGAGTTGGGCGGGCAGGCAGTGTCGTTGTACAGATAGTCAGGGCCCGGGCCGAAGGGCGAGCAGATGCCTGCTGTCGCGTTCAACCGGGAGAAGAGCTGCTGGGGAGAGAAGGGGGGAGGGAGACGGCGCGTTGGGGGGGGGGGGGGGGGATTAGTCTTGCTTGAAATCGTTGTACAGGTAGTCGGGGGGGGCCTGTGCTTTGAGACGCCTCAAAACACGCCCGGACCGAAGGGCGAGCAGATGCCTGCTGACGCGTTCAGGCTCGCTGGTGGGGAGAAAAGGAGGGAAAGGAGGGGGTTGAGCTGGGGTTGCGGGGGGAAAGAGCAAGCAGGGCAGAGTCTTTGCACAGGTAGTTTTGAGTCGACTCTAGAATCGTGGTAATCGTTGGGGGCCCGGGGCCAAAGCGCGAGCAGATGCCTGCTGACGCACTCAGACGAGGAAACAGCTGGTGAAGGGAGGGACGGGCGGAAAGACGGGGGAAGGTGGGGAGGAAAGGCGGGTAGTGTGTGAGCGATGGCCAATCAAGGAGCAGAATGGGCATAGACGCGCGGTGAAGTGGGGGAGGCATTGATTCGGGAAGAGGGGGTCGGAACGATTGGGGACAGGGGGGTAGAGTGTGTGGGCGTGACTTTTGAGAAATCTCAAAGTCACACCAACACAGCAGACGAGCTACAGAATTTGTTGGGGTGACCGCACTGATGAGATTAGTTTAGGATGCATTGGGATACAAAATATTTCGCACATACCCGCTCTGCATGAAGAGCGAGACACACCGCATGGTATTTGGCACGTAACAGTGAACCGCACCTTGGGGTATGTGCACTGAATGGGGCCGTTGGTGAAGCTGATGACGTCATAGGCAGCGGCGGTGGCCCCACCTACCTCTCCTTCCTTCCCCCCTTCCCCCTTTCTCTCGCGAACCCCTGTTTGAGGCGCCTAAAACAATCAAAGTCATACCTTGGGGTATCTGCGCGAACAGTGTCCTGCCTGGGGGCACGTGGTATAGTGTTTTACGTACCTTGGGGTAGGTGCCCTGAATGTTGCCGTCCGTTGGTGAAGGCTTTTAAGACGTCTCAAAAGTTTGTGATGCACCAGATGGCACATAGCTGTGACGCACCTTGGGGTAGGTGCCCTGAATGTTGCCGTTGGTGAAGCTGATGACGTCATACGCAGCAAAGCGGGCGAATCTAGCCGCGTCCCCGAGCTTGGTTTCGTTAAGGCACGGTACCCAGCGGTGGAATGCGGTTTTGAGGGATGGGTACAGCGTGACTTCCTTAACCGCTGATTCTGTGTCTGCGCTGACGCTGAGGAGAAGGAAGAGGGGAGGAAGGGGGGGAATGAGGAAGCAGAGGGAAGGGGAGGGTGTGCAGTGGTTGAAGCCTGCTACAAAGGGGTTGAATGCAGTGCCGAAGGATGTGTACAGCGTGACTTCCTTCACTGCTGATTCTGTGTCTGCGCTGATGGTGTGGAGAATAAAGGGGGGTGGTAGTGGAGAGGGGCGGGATAGGGGGAAGGAGGGGGGAGAGAGTGGGGATGAGGGGGGAGAGTGGGGATGAGGGGGGAGAGTGGGGATGAGGGTGGTGAGGAAGGCTGTGGGTGGTGAGGAAGGCTGTGGATGGTGAGGAAGGCTGTGGGTGGTGAGGAAGGCTGTGGGTGGTGAGGAAGGCTGTGGGTGGTGAGGAAGGCTGTGGGTGGTGAGGAAGGCTGTGGGTGGTGAGGAAGGCTGTGGGTGGTGAGTGAAATGTCATGCGAGAGAGAGATTAGGCGCTCATGCTAGTACCAGGTGAGGAAGACGGCCACGATGCATGTTACATCCAATGAAGGACCATTAGAGGTGAGGAGGCTGTGAGTGGTGAGTGCCAAGTCAAGGGATTCGAGAATGGATGGCTTGGGTACAGTGAGGAAGGCAGTGCGGGTTGAGTGGATTCAAGGCAAGGGATACAAGGATGGGTGGGGCACTCACGTTACGACGGTGAGGAAGACAGCCACAATGCACCAGGTGACGAAGGCTGTGATCCACACGAGCGTGCACATGCTGTAGAGCACAGGAGAAGAGGGGGGAAAGGGAGAGTGTGGTGGAGGGGAGGGTGGCGGGGAGAGGACACAGAGTGAGGATCGTTGGATGGCATGATGCCATGTGGGATGGCATGTGGGATGGCATGTGGGATGCCATGTGGGATGCCATGTGGGATGGCATGTGGGATGGCATGTGGGATGGCATGTGGGATGGCATGTGGGATGGCATGTGGGATGGCATGTGGGATGGCATGTGGGAACACAGGGGGTGCCATGTAAGCTACAGAGATAAAAGTGGAATGCTGTAAGCGAAGCAGGGAGGTGAGGAGGTAAGGCAGCAGCAGCAGCTTACACGTGAGAGAAGGTGGCCCACTGGAGTATGGCGGCCACTGGCGGATGGGCGCAATGGGGGGGAGATGGGAATGGGGGAGGGGGAGAACGAGTGAAACAATATTTTAGGAGGAGAATGAGTGAAACAATATTTTAGGCGCCTCACGAAGGTGGCCCACCGGAGTATGGCCGCCACTGGTGGATGGGCATATTGGGGGGGTAGAGGGGGGAGGGGGGAGGGGGGAGGGGGGAGGGGGGAGGGGGGAGGGGGGAGGGGGGAGGGGGGAGGGGGGAGGGGGGAGGGGAGAGGGGAGAGGGGAGAGGGGAGAGGGGAGAGGGGAGAGGGGAGAGGGGAGAGGGGAGAAGAGGGGGGGAGCGAGGGAATGACTGAGGCACGAATGGGCGTGTGTGCGTGTGTGCGTGTGTGGGAGCGTGCATTTGTGCGCAAGCGTTTCTATGCGCAAGAGGAAAAAGTCGGGGGGGGGAGGGGAGGGGGCGGGATTGAGAGAGGTGGGAGGGGGAGGGAACCCCAGAGGGGGAAAGAGCGACAGGGGGGGGAGAGGGAGAGAGGAGAAAAAGGAGGAGGTGCGTACCGACAGTGAGAACCACAAAAGCAAAGGCGATGCACCCCACGATAAACACAGTGGTGGACCTGATGGAATGGGTGGGACAATAAGAACATCAATGGTCGGATCATGAGATTATTAACAACCACCGATGCAACCCACGACACACACAGATGCCTTTCAAACGGCGCGCAATTAAGCAAGCTTTGGAGTTGACTAAAGACTCATAAGTCGACTTAAAAGCAAGATGGCGCCCAATCCAATATATTATGCCAGTTCGTAAAAATTGGTGCTCAATCAAGCAAGTTCTTCACATTATGTGGCAGATTCTTGCCATTGGGATTTCAATTTTGACTTTCCATCACCTCACTGCCACTTATTATTTCCTCTCTCTCCCCACCCCACTTCCTGCCTCCTCCTCTTCCCCTCGTCCAACGTACCCGTCCGTCCCCTCACCCTGCCACCTCACCTTCCCCCTTCCCCGCCACCCTTCCCCGCCCACCCTTTCCTTCCCCGCCACCCTTCCCCGCCCGCCCATTCCTGCCCCGCGCTCACATTTTCTTCCCGAAGTCTCGCAGCTCCGAGTCGCTATTCGTTATTTTGTCGTTTAGCTCCAGCGCCGCTGACGTCACCCTCTTGGAGAACTCGAAGATCTGCAGCCGCTGCTCCGCTGCAGGGGGGGGCGATGGGGGGAAGAGCAGCGGAGAGAGAGAGAAGGTTAAAGGGACTAGTTTTGAGGCGCCTCAAAATCTGCAGCCGCTGCTCCGCTGCAGGTGGGCGAGGGGGAAGAGCGGAAGAGAGGGGAGGGAAGGTTAAAGGGGGAGAGGGGTGGGGGAAATGGGGAGGACGAGGAAGTGAGGGGTGGGGCGAGGGGAGGAGAAAAGTGGGGGTGGGGGGTGGGGAGGAACGGGGCGATTGTTGAGGGAACGAGAGGTGGAGAAATCAAGAGCCCAATTGTTGAACGAAACCGGAATAGGAGTTCAACAAAATGAACAGTGGCAGGTGAGTGGGGTGAGAGTGCATGCACGATTTAGGGAGTCTCAACAACCGTTATATGAGGGCGGAGTAAACGAGAGCGTAGGTAAGGGGGGACAGGGAACGGGGGACGGGGGACGGGGAACGGGGAACGGGGAACGGGGAACGGGAAACGGGGAACGGGAAACGGGGAACGGGAAACGGGGAACGGGAAACGGGGAACGGGAAACGGGGAGCGTACGCTGCAAGAGCTGTTCGTTGATTCGCGTGCCCGCGGTGACCTGTATCGCCGACGCCACGTTGTACACTGCCGTCGTCGTCGCGTTGGTAACCTTAATCGTGTAGTCGCCAATTTCGCCCAGCCTGTCGTTCAGCTGCACGCTCCCGGCAATCATCAAGCCGAATCCCGTGCTGCGCCGGGTTACCACAAGACGGTTACAAACAACAACACAAGAAGAGAGAGGGAGTATGTTATTGAAGAGCGAAACAAGGGCAGGAAGGGGAGAGAAGCAAGAGGAGAGTACAGGACGGCACGAGGAAATGGGACGGAGAGAAGGGATGGGAAGGGATGTGCCGGGGATTGCACAATGGGAGGGAAGGGGCATGACGATACAAGAAAAGACCAGTTTCAGCAGTCACGACAGGAAGGGACTGGGGAAACGCAAAGGCCGCCGCTTGACGCACGACAGCAGCTGTGTGTGTGGCCCCCTCCTATCCTCCAACCTCGCCGCTATCCCGACCCTTGTCACATGCATCCCTGGCCGACCGTCTTTCCAATAGTTCTTTCGCAAGTTTCAATCACAAGCTTTTGAGTCGATTCAATACCAGTCAAAAGTGTCCCGGATGCGACAAAGTGAGCATTGAATCGACTCCAAAGCTCCGTCCCACCTTTGTCAGGATTGGATTCCCTCACATGACAATCATGCTGCCGACGACGAGCGCGTATAGCAATAACGAGATGTTCTGTGGCGAGTACACGTGCGCGGCGGGGTCGCGCATCTCGTCCCAGCGCGCGCGGCAGAAGAGGAAGAGCGAGACCAGGAAGAGCACGAAGCCCACTCCCAGCAGCAGCCACGCGAAGCCGATGACCGGCGCGTACACCACGGAGAAGGTGACCGACTGGTGGGGTTTGCGTGGGAGAGAGTAGGGGAATGGGGAGGGAAGGAGTAAGGTTGCGCCGAACAGCCCGATTGCGGGTGCGGGAGAGTGTGACGGACTGTTGGTGCGCGGGGATGGGAGTGGTGCGTTGGGAAAAGAGAGGAGGAGAGGTAAGAGCAAGACGCGCGGGGTTCCAGGGGCGGTGGTGAAGGGAGGCGACGGGTCGAGGCACTGGGGAAACAGGCACGCTTTCAAAGACGAGAGGCTAGTGGAGCTAAGCCTTCAACGCGCCGGTCCGAGCGGCAAGGGCATGCGGTGGAGTGGAGAGAGCATGCGGTGCAGAGGGGCGGTTGGGGGGGAGAGAGAGCGACGAGGCGAGCAGCGAGCCGACACCTTTGGAGGGCGTCATTGGGCGGGAGAGTGGAGGTGGATTGGGGTAGGGCGAGGGGAAGGTCAAAATAGTTGACGATAAGGGAGAAAGAAAGAATATCGAGAAAAGTGCAGTGTGTGGATTCCTGTATTTGGACATGGATTTTCTTTAGAATTTTTACTGTTTTCTTTCCAAGCACTGCCTGGTACCTTGCGAAGTGGGGTGTGGGAAAGGATGCAAGACCTCATCTTAGGTTAACACAAACGCCGGAAATAAAGAAAGAAAAAGACGTCTCTTGGAAAGTGCTGAATCAAGCGTCACTTACGGCCCAGTAGTCGTCAGACGACAGGTTCCACCCGCCGATGTAGTACTTAAACTCGTTAATCGGATTCATGCGACGCGTGCGATCCGTCGCAAGCAGAATCGTCGCATTTGCCAGAACCGAGCCTGTCTCATTGACCACAGTCGAGCCGTCTGGCGACAGAACCGACTGCAGCAAATGCCGCCCTACCCCATGGTGCGGCTGCTGGTGAAAAGCATTGCCGCTCGATTGCCGCTGCGCCTGCTGCGGCTGATAGTACGACTCGTGAAGCTCGATAAGCGATCGTGCGTCCTGCTGTAATCGAAGCAACGCGTCAGGAACTGCCGCGTGGCGGTAAAGTGTAGTTTTGACCGCTTCGGTGGGTCGTACTGGCGAGGTGGCATAAAGGGTGACTAAGATAAAGAGCAAGAACGGTAATTTGCCCCCAAGGCGCTTAAATGTTGGGGAGACAAAGTCGCACGGAAAATTTTGAGAATGGGAACGCATATTGGCTGATATCTTGGGGGAAGAACTAGAAAAAGGTATGAATGTGATATTTTCTCGATTCCTGCTGCTACGAGACGGTTTCACCCAAGTCAAAATATGTGCGGAGGCACACCAGTCCTTCGTGCCAAACGTAAGAAAGTTATTGAGTTTGAAGGCATGCGAGAAATGCGGTGATGTGGCCAGCTTCAGTGGTCGACGTTACGACTTCCGATTATTTTAGACGCCAATTCTTTCGTGATCGATGCCCAAAAGAAGTCTTGTGGAACTAATGCACGCAGCGTTTCCCTACTACACCCCGACCTTGCTTCGTGCACTCAGCTCTCAAGGAAGCTGACAACGGAGAATGGGGGTACAGACGGGACAAGCGAGAAGCAGTAGTGGTAGAGTCGCTTGAGATATATCATTCGGAAAAAGGCATTCAAGTGGACGGACGGGAAGTTGGGTCGTGGGGTAGGCTGGTGGAAGGAGGGGAAGTTGAAGTTGGAGCAAGGAAACCGAGAAGCTGGAAAAAAGCTTGGAAAGATGCCGACATCTACGATGGACGGTCTCGATTGGATAAGCATCGCGCACCGACAAACACGTCCCCAAGCTAGTCCGTCTCAATAAGCTTGGAAGCCTGGCTGGGCCAGAAGCTTGGCACGAACCTCCTCCGATAAAAGCTCGAGGTCGCTGCCGTAAGTACCCCCGTCGCTTGGCGAAAACCGAACACACCACACCACACCAAGACCAGGACGGCTCAGGCGTGGCAGCCGAGTCGCAAATCTTGGTTGGGGCGAGCGGCTTGCTGATGTGGCTCGTAATGTATAGCCGTTTGTGTGTATACCAATAGTATGCTCAGGCCTTGTAACAGAAATACTTTCTGAAATTGATCTACAGTTGTTTACCATTACATTTGAACAAATAAGTTGTACAGCGTGCCTTTTCAGGTTACTCCCATAAAGAGCCGCCTAATTTCAAGATTGGCCTGGATATGTTAATAATTTTATTTATAGGCTCAGATAACTGGTTAATATTGACCCACCATATTCCAATGTAGAAATATATGGTTTGGGGCGGGTGAGATGGTTCTATCTCCAGAGCGGCCCCTTTATAAGTAATAACGGTGACCATAATATCGCCTCCACACCAACCTTCAGACCTGGAAGAACCGCACCGCCGAAATCCTTGTATTATTTGGCGGCGTCTCTTACACGCAAGCCACCATTGCACATGATGGGCTCTGCAATGCACTTCTGAGAAACAATCGGCTACCGCTTCTCCACCATCTCGGTGAATCCGAATTCCTCACACCCGCCATCCCTGGCGTTCCCGCTCGCGGATCCGAGCCATGGCTCCGAGCCAGCCTCCCAAGCCTAATCCGCTGCCTCGGGGTCCCGTAATGGCGATTTGCATCATGTACTTCACCAACGCGCTCGCTCCCACCATCCTCTTTCCGTTCCTGCCGCTCATGGTCGCCAGCTTCCACGTCACCGACGACCCAACGAAGCTCGGGTGAGATATCAGTGACCCGACGGCAATTCGAGGCAGCGGCACACCATGAGCAATGCTATTTCTCATCCTGCTTTCCCTTTCTGCCGCTCATGGTCGCCAGCTTCCACGTCACTGATGACTCCACCACGCTTGGATAAGACACTCGTGACCCGAAGCAGCCCTGCGGAGCCACGTCACGCGTGTCACGCGTCACACCCCCCCCTCCCAACACACGTGTCACGCCATCGCTTTTTCCGCTTACATAGGCAGACTCCTCGGCAGACGATCCCGCGCAGTCGCAGCCCATAAGCGCATCAGCACATCGCATCTGCACCTCGTCATGCCGCTGGCAGCACATTGCCTGCAGCGTGTTGCCAATGGCATGGCATGACGAGGTGCCCTCACGCCCCGCCGTTTGCTGCATTGCGTGGTATTGCGCGCCCCCCCCCACCACCCCAGCGCATAGGGGCACTGCATGTCCGCGCCAACAGATGGACAATTTTTAGGCGCCTTGAAAGTGTTACATCTCACATCTCACCTTCCTTCCAAGCTTTTGTCTGAACAGCTTACCCTCCTGATCAGCAACCTCTGTCCTTGTTCTTGCATCATGATTCGCCGATGGATGCCTGTCTTTTTCTCCACAATTTGCCACCTTCCTGTGCTTAGTTACATCCCCTCCCAGCATCGCTTGCAACAATGACACATCTCTCGCACCTATCCTCATCTCTTCCCACTTCTCCTCACCATCTCCCACTGCTCAACGCCGCTCACCACGGCTCTGCATCTGTTTGCATGTCTGTCAGCTACTATGCGGGGTATCTGGGCTCGTCCTACTTCGTTGGGTCCCTCCTCAGCAGCTCCTTCTGGGGGTGGGTGGGGGGGGGGTGGACGACATGGGGACAAGGGTCATGGCGCAAAGGGGGGAAGGAGTGGGGGGGCTAAGCGAAGGGGTTGGGGTTGGATGAATGAACTGACTTGACTGAGTTTGAAGCACACTAGGGGAACAGGATTTGGGAAGGGGAGAATGTGTGGTGGGAAGAGGGGTGTGGTGGATAGGGTGGGTCTCTAATGCTGCTTCAGATTCTTTTAAGTAGGGTATTCTGGGTACTGTGTCCCTCTTTTTGTTCCAGCTTCTACCTGCTTCCTCTGCCAGGCTCCCTTTGAGCATCGTATCAACCAAGTGCACCAGCTGGTTAGGAATTCGTTACAGTACCTGCTTTCCTAGGACCGACAGGTGTCTCTTTCCAAGCATCTGTAATGCTCGTTCTCATGCTCATGCCCATACTCACGCTCATGCCCATGCACTATCTTCCACTATTGCTCTGCTGGATGAACTGCCTCACACCACACACACACTGCCTCACACCACACACACACTGCCTCACACCACACACACACTGCCTCATTCTCCTCCTCTCCGTGTCCCTGTGCTGCTTGCCTTCTCACATACCCCTCCCCACCACTTCCCCCTCCCTCTCCCACCCCGACAGCATCTTATCAGACCACTGGGGCCGCAAGCCAGTCTTACTGATAGGTCTAGCGGCCAACATGGTGTGCGGGGGTGCGTTTGGCCTCTGCTCCTCCTTCCGTGCCGCCATGCTCTGCCGCCTCCTGCACGGCCTCCTCTCCACCATCGCCGCCACTGGCAGAACGTGAGTCGCTGTTTCCCAATGCATGCCCCTGTCCCAATTCTCTCTTCCATCTCCCCATCCTCTCATCCATCTCCCCATCCTCTCATCCATCTCCCCATCCTCTCATCCATCTCCCCATCCTCTCATCCATCTCCCCATCCTCTCATCCATCTCCCCATCCTCTCATCCATCTCCCCATCCTCTCATCCATCTCCCCATCCTCTCATCCATCTCCCCATCCTCTCAGCATCCCCATCCTCTCATCCAGCCCCATCCTCTCATCCATCGCCCCATCCTCTCATCCATCTCCCCATCCTCTCATCCATCTCCCCATCCTCTCATCCCTCTCCCCATCCTCTCATCCCTCTCCCCATCCTCTCATCCCTCTCCCCATCCTCTCATCCATCTCCCCATCCTCTCATCCCTCTCCCCATCCTCTCATCCCTCTCCCCATCCTCTCATCCATCTCCCCATCCTCTCATCCATCTCCCCATCCTCTCATCCATCTCCCCATCCTCTCATCCATCTCCCCATCCTCTCATCCATCTCCCCATCCTCTCATCCATCTCCCCATCCTCTCATTCATCTCCCCATCCTCTCATCCATCTCCCCATCCTCTCATCCATCTCCCCATCCTCTCATCCATCTCCCCATCCTCTCATCCCTCTCCCCATCCTCTCATCCCTCTCCCCATCCTCTCATCCCTCTCCCCATCCTCTCATCTCCCCATCCTCTCATCCCTCTCCCCATCCTCTCATCCCTCTCCCCATCCTCTCATCCATCTCCCCATCCTCTCATCCCTCTCCCCATCCTCTCATCCCTCTCCCCATCCTCTCATCCATCTCCCCATCCTCTCATCCATCTCCCCATCCTCTCATCCATCTCCCCATCCTCTCATCCATCTCCCCATCCTCTCATCCATCTCCCCATCCTCTCATCCATCTCCCCATCCTCTCATTCATCTCCCCATCCTCTCATCCATCTCCCCATCCTCTCATCCATCTCCCCATCCTCTCATCCATCTCCCCATCCTCTCATCCCTCTCCCCATCCTCTCATCCCTCTCCCCATCCTCTCATCCATCTCCCCATCCTCTCATCCCTCTCCCCATCCTCTCATCCCTCTCCCCATCCTCTCATCCCTCTCCCCATCCTCTCATCCATCTCCCCATCCTCTCATCCATCTCCCCATCCTCTCATCCATCTCCCCATCCTCTCATCCATCTCCCCATCCTCTCATCCATCTCCCCATCCTCTCATCCATCTCCCCATCCTCTCATTCATCTCCCCATCCTCTCATCCATCTCCCCATCCTCTCATCCATCTCCCCATCCTCTCATCCATCTCCCCATCCTCTCATCCCTCTCCCCATCCTTGCATGCAGCACAGTGGCTGAGCTCTGTGACTCCACCAATCAGGCACAGGGGTAAGACGCCTCTCGCCCATTCAACCTGCTCTCCGTACCCCATTCAACCTGCTCTCCGTACCCCATTCAACCTGCTCTCCGTACCCCATTCAACCTGCTCTCCGTACCCCATTCAACCTGCTCTCCGTACCCCATTCAACCTGCTCTCCGTACCCCATTCAACCTGCTCTCCGTACCCCATTCAACCTGCTCTCCGTACCCCATTCAACCTGCTCTCCATACCCCATTCAACCTGCTCTCCGTACCCCATTCAACCTGCTCTCCGTACCCCATTCAACCTGCTCTCCGTACCCCATTCAACCTGCTCTCCGTACCCCATTCAACCTGCTCTCCGTACCCCATTCAACCTGCTCTGCGTACCCCATTCGTTTGCTGCGTCTACCCGCAATGAACTGTCTCATCATGTCCCGTTAACCAACCAGTTGATATCTTGTTTGTTCTGCACGTTGCTCGGCCGCCTCAACACCCCATTCGTTGCCTCCCAGATTGCATGCCTCGCGCTTCATCTTGCAGCCCAAAACCATCTCTTTCTAGACTCCGTTTCAATTCCAACCCCCTTCCCATTCCTCACACCTCCCAATATCTCACCCTTCCCAGCTCCTCACCCCTCCCACGTTCATCCAAGTGCTCTCGCACTCTGTTTGCATCCTATGCCTGACGTTTGCTTCCCCTCCTTCAGCTTCGCCCTCCTGGGAACCAATTTCGGTCTTGGGCTGCTCATTGGTAAGTTTTCCCCTTGTCTTTCTTTCATCCCACACATATGTACGTACGTGTGCTGCTCACACACACGTGCTGCTCACACACACGTGCTGCTCACACGCACGTGCTGCTCACACGCACGTGCTGCTCACGTGCACTGGATGTTTGTGAGCCGTGGTGACTCCCGCTCGTCTATTCTCGTGTATGTTTTCGCATTTCCGAGCATCCTTCTCCCCTCACCCATTCGCGCCTCACCCGCTTCCCACAGGTCCCACACTGGGCGGCTTCCCATGCGAGATAGCAGTCAAGTCAAGTACCCCAGGCTGTTCCTTGGTTGCTCTGTGACTGCCTGCCTGTTGTGCATGAGTCGATTTTTGAGTCGACTCAAAAATCGACTCATCACACGCCTGTTGTGCCTGACATAACCCATTCACTCCCATTCACCCCTTCACTCAACCCTTCCCACAGGCCCAGCACTGGGCGGCTTCCTGTGCGAGCCAGCACTCAAGTACCCTTGGTTGTTCCCCTCGCACTCTCTCTTCGCCCGCCTGCCCTTCCTCCTGCCCTGCGTGCTGCTCGCCCTGCTCTCCCTGCTCGGCCTCCTCGCCACCGCTGCGCTGCTGCCAGAGACCAAGGGGTGGGCGCACCGAGTCATTGACATAGACTCTGAGATTCGACCTCATTGTGCTGATGCTGAGAGTCCTGTGACTCCTGTCTGGGGCGCTGGTGGTAGCAGCGGTGGCAGTGACGCTGCCACTGTTGCTGCTGCCGTGCTGCCATGCAGCAGCGGTGGTGAGCAGCAGCAGCGGCAGCAGCAGCAGCCGCAGCGGCGGCGGCGTCGGCGGTGGCAGCAACAACAGTGGCAGCGGCAGCGGTAGCATGAGCAGTGGTAGCCGGAGGTCAAGCCTTAGCCAGCCACTGCTGCAATCCATTGCTGAGGAGCGAGGAGGAGAGGAGGAGGGGGAGGACGACGGGGAGGAGGAAGAGAAGGAGGAGAAAGCGAGGAAGTTGCGATGGGAGGAAGGAGGGAAGGAAGGGGAAGGGTGTGGAGAAGTGCGAGGAGGAGGAGAGGGAGGTGAGGCAGGAGTAGGGCAGTCAAGCGGGAATGGTGGGATGTGGAATACGAGCATAGGAGAGGGTGAATGGCCAGAGGACACATGGGGGAGAGAAGGAGACAGAGGAGGGAGAGAAAGAGGAGGAGGGTGGGGGGAGTATGATGAGGAGCGGGCATGCATGGTAGGGGACAGCAGAGAGCACCTGAACCACCTGAATGATCACCTGTGTGGGAAACACCTGGATGGGGATCACCTGAGGGAGCCACTACTTGGATCTGGAGTGGGAGAAGGGGAACTGCGGGATGCCGGAGCTGAAACTGACGGCATGGCCACTGCTAATGGCTTCTGCTCCCCCTCCTCTCATTTCCACCCCTCCTCCCGTTTCTCCTCCTCCTCCCGTTTCTCCTCCTCCCGTTCCTCTTCCTTGCTTCTCTGCTACGGCCTGCCCCAGATGCCGTGTCTCTGCTGCTGCCTTCAATCCCCCGCTCTCTCCCCAGTGAACCTCTTCTCGCCTCTGTGTGGCCAGCAGCTTGCACGCGCTCTCTTTGATTCTGCTACAGGTACCTCTCTCTTTTCACTCTTCTGCATTACCCGCCCCTCCTCTGTGCTGCTCCCTATCCATTTCCACAGTCTCCCTTTCGCCCTCTCGCTCGCTCCCTTCCTCCCCTACTTTCCTCGCATCCTGTCCCTCCGCATGTCTTTCGACCATTCTCTTTCAGCTCTCAAATCTAATCGGCTACTCTTTGGGTCAGGCTGTTTTTTTTTTTTAATATTCTTCCCTTTCGTGACAAAAGTGTACTTATGAGATGCCTCAAAATTCTCCTTCCAGGTGAACGCCATTTCCACGGTGAACGCCACTTCACGTCCAAGTTGCTCTTCATATCTTGTGGTTTCCTGGTTTTCAAGTATGACTGTACACAAAGAGTCGGCCCCTCACTTTTCCTTCCTGACACCCCATGCACCACCATTCATCGTGTATGCAAGATTCCTTGGGCGGCAATTCAAAGGCCACTATGATTGCGTGCATTAGCCTAGCTGCAGAGTACGTGTTGAGATGCGTCAAGAGTGCATCAGCCCAGCTGCTCCTTGGTTTGCTGATGCACTCTGATGCATCTCAACGCTTACTCCGCAGTTGGGATGATGAAAATCTCTGATGGTGGTTCATGGTGGTGGGAAAGAGGTGTTAGGAAGGGGAGTGAGAGGCGGGCTCTTTGTGTGCAATCGTACTTGAAAACAGGGAAATTACAAGGTATGAACAACAACTTGGAGAGGGAATGGCGTTCACCTGGAAAGGGAAGGGAATAGAGGAGAAATAAAAAAAACACCAGCTGGTTTTTGAGAATTCTAAAAAATCCTATCAATCATTACCACAATCATCACCACAAGTAAATAGCACCATAGTTATCACTATAGTTGTCACCATGATTATCACCATCACCACCATCATCACCATCACCATCACCATCGTTCCCCCCAGCGAAGGCGTTCCTTTTCCTCTCTTCTCAGCTTCCACTCTTGTTTTAAGCAGCACCCCTATTCTCTCCATTGCTCAACCCCGCACCCATCACCATCAACCCGTCATCACCATCATCGCTCCCAGTGAAGGCCTTTCTCTTCCTCTCCCTGCTCAGTTTCGCTACAACCTCGTTTAACGAGGTGAGCTGGTCAGCAGCATGTAATCGTAAGGAGAGGACTTGTAAGGAAGGCAATTGCCAGTATGTGGCAGTAGCAGAGTGAGGTGCCAATGTGTGACAACAGTAGAATTTGCTGTAAAGAGCCAGTATTGGTAATGTGCATCTGCAGAATGCGATATTTGATTACTTCAAGGTCAGTTTGGGTATTTGGACATACCGTGGTGTGCTCTTCATGAATTTGTATTATGGGCCATGGTGGGGCTGGGGCACGATGAGCCTTTTTGAAGTTATGAGAGAAGGGTGAGAGAGAGTTGAAGGGGTATTGCTTTTGGAGGTCTGGTTGAGCTGTCAGTGAGGGTGCTTGTAGGCTGTACGAACATTCAACTCACGAATTTAGCAAAACTCTGGCTGCATTTTTTCTGAGTTGTATCTATTTCCTCGAAAACATTCCAGACGTTGTGAGTGAGTAACTCCTTGTTTTTTGTTCTCTTTCCACACCCCTTTCTCCCCCTCCTCAGGTCTTTCCTCTCTGGAGCCTCACTGATTGGAGGTTCGGAGGGCTCAGCTTTGGCACGAACCAAGTTGCCATGGCCCAAACCAGCGCTGGAATATGCTCTGTAGGTGTTAAGTCTGCAACTCTTCCAAGCAAATGTCTGTGATGAGCACAATCAGGTGTATATCTCCAGAGCACCATGCTTCTGGTTGCAGGCATTTTCGGACACAGCAGGAGGTACTGATGCCACACAGCAAGTAACTCCTCAAAGCTGGAAGCTGGAAATCTCTCTTTAGGCGCCTGAACACTGATAACAGGAACTTTCACTTCTGGGTCCTTTTTGTTCATACTCCTTCGGACATTCTTCCCTGCCTCTCAAACGGTCGTTTCATTGATCTAGGCCAGCCAGAGTACATCGCAAGCATGCAAGGGTAGGTGAGTACATCGCAAGCATGCAAGGGTAGGTGAGTACATCGCAAGCATGCAAGGGTAGGTGAGTACATCGCAACCATGCAAGGGTAGGTGAGTACATCGCAAGCATGCAAGGGTAGGTGAGTACATCGCAAGCATGCAAGGGTAGGTGAGTACATCGCAAGCATGCAAGGGTAGGTGAGTCTAATGGTTCATTTCCTAACTAGCCACCTAGAGACTGTCATGAGGGGGCTCAAGGGTTGCAAAGCAATGCCCCGGGTTCAGCTCCCCCTCCGGTCCTCCTCCCCCTCCGGTCCTCCTCCCCCTCTGGTCCTCTCACAGGCGGGTTCTCAACCTGGGCCGCAAGGTTGAGCCTCTCTTTCTCAGCCCCCTCCTGCACTCCTTCTCGCCACGTCTCTTCGCCCGCTTGCGTCTCAGATTACTTTTGAGACGTCTCAAAACAAGCCCCCTCCTGCACTCCTTCTTGCCACGTCTCTTCATCCGCTTGCGTCTCAGATTACTTTTGAGACGTCTCAAAACAAGCCCCCTCCTGCACTCCTTCTTGCCACGTCTCTTCACCCGCTTGCGTCTCAGATTACTTTTGAGACGTCTCAAAACAAGCCCCCTCCTGCACTCCTTCTTGCCACGTCTCTTCACCCGCTTGCGTCTCAGATTACTTTTGAGACGTCTCAAAACAAGCCCCCTCCTGCACTCCTTCTTGCCACGTCTCTTCACCCGCTTGCGTCTCAGATTACTTTTGAGACGTCTCAAAACAAGCCCCCTCCTGCACTCCTTCTTGCCACGTCTCTTCACCCGCTTGCGTCTCAGATTACTTTTGAGACGTCTCAAAACAAGCCCCCTCCTGCACTCCTTCTTGCCACGTCTCTTCACCCGCTTGCGTCTCAGATTACTTTTGAGACGTCTCAAAACAAGCCCCCTCCTGCACTCCTTCTTACCACGTCTCTTCACCCGCTTGCGTCTCAGATTACTTTTGAGACGTCTCAAAACAAGCCCCCTCCTGCACTCCTTCTTACCACGTCTCTTCACCCGCTTGCGTCTCAGATTACTTTTGAGACGTCTCAAAACAAGCCCCCTCCTGCACTCCTTCTTACCACGTCTCTTCACCCGCTTGCGTCTCAGATTACTTTTGAGACGTCTCAAAACAAGCCCCCTCCTGCACTCCTTCTCGCCAGCCAGGTCTCTTCACCCGCTTGCGTCTCAGATTACTTTTGAGACGTCTCAAAACAAGCCCCCTCCTGCACTCCTTCTTACCACGTCTCTTCACCCGCTTGCGTCTCAGATTACTTTTGAGACGTCTCAAAACAAGCCCCCTCCTGCACTCCTTCTTACCACGTCTCTTCACCCGCTTGCGTCTCAGATTACTTTTGAGACGTCTCAAAACAAGCCCCCTCCTGCACTCCTTCTTACCACGTCTCTTCACCCGCTTGCGTCTCAGATTACTTTTGAGACGTCTCAAAACAAGCCCCCTCCTGCACTCCTTCTTACCACGTCTCTTCACCCGCTTGCGTCTCAGATTACTTTTGAGACGTCTCAAAACAAGCCCCCTCCTGCACTCCTTCTTACCACGTCTCTTCACCCGCTTGCGTCTCAGATTACTTTTGAGACGTCTCAAAACAAGCCCCCTCCTGCACTCCTTCTCGCCAGCCAGGTCTCTTCACCCGCTTGCGTCTCAGATTACTTTTGAGACGTCTCAAAACAAGCCCCCTCCTGCACTCCTTCTTACCACGTCTCTTCACCCGCTTGCGTCTCAGATTACTTTTGAGACGTCTCAAAACAAGCCCCCTCCTGCACTCCTTCTCGCCAGCCAGGTCTCTTCACCCGCTTGCGTCTCAGATTACTTTTGAGACGTCTCAAAACAAGCCCCCTCCTGCACTCCTTCTCGCCAGCCAGGTCTCTTCACCCGCTTGCGTCTCAGATTACTTTTGAGACGTCTCAAAACAAGCCCCCTCCTGCACTCCTTCTTACCACGTCTCTTCACCCGCTTGCGTCTCAGATTACTTTTGAGACGTCTCAAAACAAGCCCCCTCCTGCACTCCTTCTTACCACGTCTCTTCACCCGCTTGCGTCTCAGATTACTTTTGAGACGTCTCAAAACAAGCCCCCTCCTGCACTCCTTCTTACCACGTCTCTTCACCCGCTTGCGTCTCAGATTACTTTTGAGACGTCTCAAAACAAGCCCCCTCCTGCACTCCTTCTCGCCAGCCAGGTCTCTTCACCCGCTTGCGTCTCAGATTACTTTTGAGACGTCTCAAAACAAGCCCCCTCCTGCACTCCTTCTCGCCAGCCAGGTCTCTTCACCCGCTTGCGTCTCAGATTATCTGCGGTTGTGATACGCCGGTATTTTACTCGACTTCAAATTCTTCCCTGTTCATCTCTCCACCCTGCTCGCTTCCTCTCAGGTGATTTTCCAGCTTTATGTTTACGCGCCCCTTGTCAACAGAGTGGGAGCTCGGGGAGCCGTTCAGGTGAGTGAGTGCTACTGTGGCTCAGGTGGTTGCCACGGTAGCTCAGGTGAGTGAGCGCTGCTGTCACTCGGGTGATTCAATGCTCTGATTGATCTGGTGGCTTCCCCTGATTCATTTCGCTGATATTGCAGCTCAGTCCCATTTCTTAACCTTGCCTGTCATGCCTTCTCCTGCTTGTCATTCGCCGTGCGGTTTCGCCCAATCAGGTGGCGCTGTCAGTTGGCTTCGTTATAGTCACATGGCTTCCCTTCATCCGCATGTTCGGCCAAGGCAGTGACTCCACTCTGATCGCTGCCTGCCTCTCCCTCGCCCTGCGAAGGTATGCTAAGAAAACGGATTTCGAGCCAACTTAGAAGCGACTTTATTTCAATGGCACTTGCTGCTTGCCTCTTCCTTGACCTTCGATGCTACACTTTCAAGATGGAATTGGCAGCACGAACATTTCTTTCGGAGCTGAATCGCTTTCTGAGAGCTGTCAAATGTGACATGGGTTAGCTCAGATTGGCTGGTAAAAGCATGGGCAGAGCCATTGGGGCAGCTCATGAATCATTGTGGCCTGCTGCTCGCAGTTGAACGAGCTACTTGCATGTGGGGTTACTCATTTGATACTGTCTGCTTATGCGTCCTTGCACGTTTGAACCTCGAAACTGCAACCAGCAAGTATAATGTGTTGAATGTCACGGCTGTGTGATGTGTATAATAAATTTGTGGCGAGTGTGCTGGGTGTGATGTGTGTGGTGCCTGTGGTGTATGTGGAGTGTGCTGGGTGTGATGTGTGTGGTGTGTGCGATGCATGTGGTATGATTGTGTGCATCTGTCTGCAGTTTTGCGCAGTGTGTGTTCACGTCGGGTTTCATCTTTATCAACAACAGCATCACGGATCCAGCTCTGATTGGCGCAGTCACAGGGATCACTCAATCCATCAATCTCTTTTTTAGAGCAATGGCTCCTGCTGCTGGTGCTTCCGTGTTTGCATGGAGCATCAGTGGTAAACCATTATTTCCAATGGACCATCACTTGTTTTTCTTTGCTCAGGCTGTCCTTCAGCTTGTTCTGATCATGATTTCTAGGTCCATGCCTGACCATATTGACAGGCCTAAGTTTGTCCGACGACAAACAAAATAGTGGATATGTCATGCCATTTGAGAGTATCTTACCTTGTGTCAGAGGTGCTCATGCTCGTCTTTTTAACGATGAGCTCATTAGAGGAGATGGGTCCTGACGAGGCTCGGCTCCTCGTCACTCGGCATATGGTTCGGTCTGCCAGCCATGTTTGAGGTTCGTGGGCCCAAGCTGATTCTGCAGCCGCAGACACTGACCAAGCATGACGTCAACATCGCCTCACTTTTTGCCACAAGGCCTCCGCAGACCAATTACTGTGCCTGATCAATTGCCGAACCTCATTTGTTGCGGCCAATTAGCGTCGTCCAAGGCGTCTAGTCCTCTTGGCCCTAAAGCAACAGCCAACAGCAACCAAATGTTCACGTGGCCTTGGTTTTCCAGGTATTACTGAATACCGTTTCAGAACGTAATTGAACCGTATTAAAAACGCTTTGCACGTAAGCCCTCATCCCTTCGACATGGCGCCCCCCACGAGCTCACACAACCACCCAACCAACCACCCTTTCTATCTTTTATCACCTGTTTTTCTCCCTTGAGCTTCAGCCATGAATTGATTTCCGTGCTAGTCTGTGTCTCTGTTGGAGTGTCGCGACTCGACAAGTACTTCTTGTAGGAGCTTCATATTTTTTTTTTTTTTTTTTGGCTTTTGTCATTTCAGTGTCGCACGTAGATCGAGCTGTTTTCTCAGTGGCAGTTAAACTAGCCGTCGATTAGACCGGCCGCCAGCTGTGATCAGCGCTAGGTGCCCGTCGACATGCCGCCAGGCACCCCGTCAGAAGTCGACGAAAGAAATAATGGCTTAGCCTCCGTAGATATACCCGCTGGAGAAGCCAGCGATGCGAGGAATGGCGAAGCGCCGAAAGAGCAGGAAGCGGTGGTGCCGCCAACGGTCAAGTTCATCATCGGCAACGAGTTCTGCGAGAGATTCTCCTTCTACGGCATGCGCGCGATCCTCGCGCTGTACCTGAACGAGAGATTAAAGCTGTCGCAGGCGACGGCGACGGAGATGGTGCATCTCTTCATCGTCGCCGCGTACCTCGCTCCCCTGTTTGGCGCGTTCATCAGCGATAGCTACCTGGTAAGGATCCGACAGATATAGACCATGCACACCTGTTTTTCGATAAGGTGTTACGTTGCCGGGCGACGCCGCCTGGTAAGGATCCAACAGGTATAGACCATGTTTTTTAACGGATTCAAGTAGTACTGGGTTCAGTACCGGACCACGTTCATCGTTCACGTTTTCTTAAAACGACTGTATGGTTCATTGTCGCTCATCACTGAGCTCCAGTCATTTTTTTATTGTTAATTCCGTCCCTGCGCGCCGACCGCATGGCAAGTACCGGACCATCTGGGCCTCTCCTATATCTACTGCGCCGAGCTCTTAGACTCCTCGAATCTCAATAGATCCCAAGTGTCTCCCTTTTGCCCTACTGCTAATCCCGTCCCTGCGCGCCGACCGCAGGGCAAGTACCGGACCATCCTGTACCTCTCCTTCATCTACTGCGCCGGCAACTGGCTCGTCGCCTTCTCCGCGCTCCACGCCACGCCGTCCGCCGCGCTTCCCTGGGCCGTCGCGGGGCTATCATTTCTCGCGTTGGGCAGCGGCGGTATCAAGCCGTGCGTGTCGTCGTTCGGCGGCGATCAGATCGAGATGACCAACCCTCCCGGCGCGGCTCGGGACCGCCTGGTTCGGCAGTTCTTTTCGTACTTCTACTTCGCAATCAACGTCGGGTCCGGGATTTCCACGATCGTCACGCCTCTGATGCGCGTTAACCTGTCGTATAGCGCCGCGTTCGCGCTGCCGGCCGTGCTGATGATGGTTGCCACGTGTCTCTTCTGGCTCGGCAGCGGGAGTTACGTGCACCAGCCGCCCGCGGGGAACGTGGTGTCGGAAGTCCTCTCTATAATCATCTCCGCTTTATGGCCGGGGAAGGCGCGACGGAAATCCTACCCCACCCTGGCCATGGCCATGCCCGTGCCAATCCCAGAACGCCACGCCAGCTGCGCTGACGTGGACAGCTCCCCGCTGCTCTCCAGCAGCCCCGCGTTGTTCGGCGCGGGCCGGGGAAGCAGCCTCCAACCGGGAAGCCCGCTGCAAGGCGGCCAATCCGAATCATCTCAGGCCCAGACTCAGCAGCGGAAGGGCAGCCATCCGACGCTGCAGAAGAAGCTGTCAAAGCGGGGCAGCAAGCGGGCCATAGTGCCCTTGGGATTTGTTCCCAAGGCGCACTGGCTGGACCCTGCCAAGGCAGCGCACGGGGAGGAGGCGGTGGAGGACGTGAAGCTGCTGCTGCGCGTGCTGGCGCTGTTCGCCCCCGTGCCCATCTTCTGGTCGCTCTTCGACCAGCAGGCCAGTAGATGGGTGTTTCAAGCCGAGCGCATGGACGGGCATTTCTGGGGGATCACGGTGGAGCCGGATCAGATGCAGGTGCGTTGCGGTGGTGAAGGGTTGGGATGGGTGGGGGTGAGGAGAATTAGCAGGCCAGCAGATGGGTGTTCCAGGCGGAGGGAATGGACGGGCATATCTGGGGAATTACGGTCGAGCCCGGCCAGATGAGGTGGGTGGGTGGTGAGGGGTTGGGGGGTTTGGGGTTGGGTGGGGGTGGGAAGAATGGGGAGGGTTCGGCCAGCAGGCCAGCAGATGGGTCTTCCAGGCGGAGCGCATGGACGGCAGTATCTTGGGGGTCAAGGCGGAGCCGGACTAGGGAACGTGGAAGTGAAAGGATAAGGGGAAGAGTGCGGGGAACTGAGAAAAGGGCGGAGGTGGCAGGAGTAAGGCCATGAAGATCATGGACGAAAACTGTTACTCCTGATTTTCATGCCCTTATTACTGCTCCCCCCGCCCTTCTCCCAGTTCCCTGCACTCTTCCCCCTTCCGTGTTCCCTTACCCTTCCCCCCTGCATCCCGAGTTTCCCCCCCCCTGACCAGACGAGATGGCTTGCGAGGCATTATTGCATCTCCTATGGAGGAAATGAACCGTAGGGGCATTTTTCACTAGTTGAAAATTGCCTTCACTAGTTTTAGTCTCTCTCACGTTGCTTCTCCCCGCTCCCCTTCCCTGCCCCGTTCTCCTCCCACTGACCCACCAATATTCCACCTCCCTTCCTCCTCTTTCCTGCCCCTCCTTCCCCTCCCCCATTTCCCCCCACGCGCAGACCATGAATGCAGCGCTCATCCTGGTCATGATACCGCTGTTTGATCAAGTAATCTACCCTACCTGTGAGCGCCTGGGCGTGTCCATCCGCCCCATCCGCCGCATGGCCACCGGCATGACCCTTGGCGCCCTCAGCTTTGCGCTCTCCGGCCTCCTCCAGATTTGGATCGACGCTCGGGCCAGGTCTGGCTCGCCGAGCCTGCTTCTAGGCTCGGCAGCAGTGACCGCTGCTGCTGCAGCTGGGAGTGCAGGTGCAGGGGAAGGGGCTGGGAGGGTGTTACTGAGCATGATAGGGGGTAACATGACAGCAAGTGTTAGCAGCCTTGGCGGCATGAGTATGAGTGGTATGAGCAGCAATGCCAGCATGATGAGCAATATGAGTGGTGTTTCTGGTCCAATAATGGCTGGTCCTATGATGGACGGATGGGGGGGTGACCTGATGGCAATGGGAGGCGCAACAGCAGCAGCGGTGGGCTCAGCAGGAGCAGCAGCAGTGGAAGCACTGGGAGGCTTAGCAGCAGCAGCAGTGGCGGGGGCAGCAGGCAACAGCAGCAGGCACGTGCTGCAGGCGTGTGGGGACCCGGGCAGCCCGCCATGTGTGTCACTGGCATGGCAGGTGCCACAGTATGTGATCATGACGGCCGGGGAGATCCTCTTCAGCATCACGGGCCTTGAGCTCGCTTACTCCCAGGCGCCTGCCAGCATGACGGCTGTTGTCACTGCCTTCTGGTGCCTCACTGTGGCTGGAGGTGAGCCTGTTGGCAGGGAGGGTGTGTTTGATTGGGCACGTGTGATAGCTAGAAGCCTAGAAAAGTGTACTCTTGCTTTCGGTTCCCTGGTGGCACAGAGAGGCTGCCACAGTATGTGATCATGGCACCGGGGGAGATCCTAGTTAGCCTCATGGGCCTTCTGGTGTGTCTCTCTGTTTGTTGGAGGAGTCGCCTTATCAGCTCACAACTGGCTTTCTCAAAAGCAGGAGCGTTTCGTTCGTCTTCACTACTGTGTGCCTGATTCACTTACATGTGCCTGTTCTTCACCGCTCTGCTGTCCCACTCATCATATTTTCTCATCCCTCTTTCTCATCTCTCTGCTCTGCTCTCCCCAGGCAATCTGTTTACGGCGGTGGTAGTCGGGACTGTCGGCTCGCATCTCACTCAACAGTACGCAGGAGTTTTTCTTTTTCACCATCATGTGCCTCATCTCCACCGCACTACTACTCTACGTTGGCAAGGGTTTCATCTATGTCGAGAGCTGTCAGGACCTGCAGCAGCCTGACCCCTTCTCGCAGAGTGGTGCTGGTGGGTTTGGTGGGGTTGGTGGGAGTGTTGAGGGGCATAGTGCCCCAGTGGCTGTGCCTGGTGGGTCGGGCGTGCGGCACGATGCGCTGTTTGATATTGAAGGGGCGGGGAGTGTAAATTCGCCGCCTGCTTCGTACACTGACACGCCTACGTGAGGCTTCATTGTTGCCAACTGATTGACTCGGGACCAGAAAAATGTACACGTCTGTTTGAAACTGGATTCAGTTGTTGGTGCCACCTTAGGTGTGAGTGCTAGTGGTCATTGTGTACAGAAAATCCTCTATTACTCGTGTCTGACCGAGACAAGTGCCTCTTTTGCGAAAGATATGCTCTCCGATATAAAGAGATGAGTAATTCTGCTTAAGACGGAATGAAATATTATGTTTCTTGTCGCTCTCTCTTCGAAGATGCCTCTGTCGAGTACATAACAATATGATCTCACACGTGTCACGCTCGCAAACCCAGCTGTGCTCTCCACAAAGTTGGGGACTCAAATCGAGCCGCCGAAGCGAAACCTTTCATCTGTCGGTGGTCGATTGCCTCCAGCAAGCTGGGATTAGAATCGAGCCGCACACAAGAATTCCATCACCTACAAGTGGTACAGCTGGCTCCTGCGAAGTTTCACAGATTTGCGAGAAGGGTTTCCTGATTATAGCAGTTTTCGCAAATACCTCCCTGACCACGAGATCCAGGCATCAGTCGCTGGACCAGATCAGCTGGTGGAAGACCTCGAACATGCTCCAACGCATCATGTTGAGCACAGGGTGGGGTCCACGAAAAATCCATGGCGGACGGAACCTCGTCTCGCCTCCATCATCCCTTGTGCCCTCAACCCTGCACATTTCAGATTCCTCACCCCATTTTGGTCATCCGCCTTCCTGTAAGACTTATTGAGTCTGCTAACTACACGGTTCTTGTTGAGAGACTTTTTATATCACTTGCACTTTCAAAGGAATCTGAATCAAGATCCGAACAGAGTTAGAGACCCAAACGTGGTCTGCAGACTTGAGAATCTCGGTCGCCTTCTAGAATCCTGATCAGGAGAACGGAAGCCACAATGTCGGAAGAGACGCAGAGCCTGACGGGAGCCGTTGGCTTGGCGACAAAAACTGGCGGATGGATAAAGAAAGAGGAAGTGAAGAAAGCGGTTTCCAGGTGAGATCATCACAACGGCTCAGCTTATGTTTGCGTCACTTTTGAGAGTTCTCAAATCATAACGGATAAGGAAAGAGAGGGTGACGAAGGCCGTTTTTAGGTGAGATCGCCGCAAGGACTCAAGTTATGCATCCTTTTCCGTCATCGCATCGAGCATTTTTCAACTGAAAGGAGTCATGAACGTTCACTCTCTGGAGAAGTTACAGAAGCTGAGCAGACACCTACGCCATTAAACGGGGAATGCTATGACCAGCATCATCGGAACGCGTTCACGCGAAACGGAACTTCGAGCTTGACTTGATGAATCTAGTCCTACGCGAAACCGTCCGACGCACCTGATCCGTCCGACGCTCCTGATCTGTCCGGCGCCACTTGAACAATGATTATGATAACTGTGCAGATAAATGGCCTCCCATCCAACAGCACCTTTCAGATCTCTTCTTTCATGACCACATTCGCGCATTTCACTCCCGCGCGTCCTCTGGTTCGCGACGCCGCTCTTCTGATGCGAGAAGCCTTTCTGATGCACTTCCTGATCTATGCCATCCCCGCTGCAGCTATGAGAACTACCACGAGAGCTTCGGAGGGAGCGACAGCGCGCGCAAGTCCAACTATACCGACATGGTATGTGCGCAGCACAATCATGTGTATTAAGACCCACATTAATGAACATTTGCATGCGGCAGGGCGTAATGCACCCAATCAGAAAAGCTGATTTCAACTGGTAACGAACTTACGCCTTTTGCCGTTACTCCAACTCTCCCTTTATTCTCGCTCCCTCGCCCGACCCACCTCCCCTCTCTCACGCACGTGCAGGTCAACAAGTACTACGATCTGGTAACCAGTTTCTACGAATACGGCTGGGGCGAGTCGTTCCACTTCGCTCACCGGTACGAGCTTCGCTGACCACTCACTGTTAAATACGAAACAAAAGAACACATTTATTTGCAGATACGAAATAGTTTACCAGTCTTGAATCGGGCCTGCAGCACTCCAGCGTTGACCACTCCCCCTCAGAAGCGCCCATGATCTCGGAGTAGCAGACCCAGCCCATCAAGCCGTTTGATACGCGCCCCCACCTCATTGCCCGGCGAGTGGCTCTCACAAGCCCACTGATTCTGTCGCGTCTCCAACCCTGGGAAACGCGTGTGACATCCACCACTCCGCATGTCCGTCCTGGCAACCCTTGCGTTACGAGCTGGTTTTTCACTCCGTCCTGGCCCGCTCCGTCCTGGCAACCCTTGCGTGATCTCTCTGCTGTGCCCGCGGCAGGATGAGGGGCGAGACGCTACGGGAGAGCATCAAGCGACACGAGCACTTCCTGGCGCTCCGACTGGGGCTTGGCCCCGGAATGAAGGTGCGTGAACCAATCGGAGCCCTGTTGTTCCATAGGGCGTGAAGACATGTGCTTTCCTCGTTTGCCCCTTTCTGGGTTCCGCATGACCCCCTGCCTTCTGTGCCTCCTGCTTGCTTCTCATTCACTTCACATTCTCGCACCTCGCTCATTCCCCCTCATCACACCTCACCTCCCCTTCCCTCGCTGTTGTCTCGCCATCAGGTATTGGATGTGGGGTGCGGCATCGGCGGGCCTTTGAGAGAAATCGCACTCTTCAGGTACACTGACAGCCGGCGCCTGCTACTATCACTGTCAGAGCATGGCAGCATTCGTTGCTGCGTAAGGTGTTGAGTCGGCTCAAAAAGCTACTAACACTGTCAGAGCATGGCAGCATTCTTTACGCTGCCTCGAGCCACCGATGGAGCCAGTCGCGCTCATGTTTTGCCAGTCTCCCCTTGAACACTGCCATTCGCTTGTTCACGTGTAGTGAGGGTGTTATTGACACGTCTCAAAAACACCCTCACTACATTTTGCCAGTCTCCCCTTGAACACTGCCATTCGCTTGTTCATCATACTGCTTTTGCCGTTAAGCCTTCCCTCTCTTTCCTCGACTCGACCCATCCTCTTCCCCACTTCCCCTGTCACAAACCTGACGAACCACTGGTTGAAACTCATTCCCGTCGACCCCTCCCCCCTGGTGTGTTTTGAGTCGACTCAAAACTAATCAAACCTGACGAACCTCTAGCTGAAACTCATTCCCGTCAACCCCTCCCCCCTTTCCGTCATGCATCCTTCCGTCTTGGTACTCATAACTCTAGACACACGCATCCTGCTCAATGCCTCCCTTGCCCTCCCTCCCCTCTCGCCTCCCCACTCCCTGTAATGCTTCCCTTCTCCGGCTTTCCACGCTGCATCTGTGCGCCACACACGCTATGCAATGCAGCGGAGCCACAGTAACGGGGCTCAACAACAACGAGTACCAGATCTCCCGCGGCAAGGTACGCTGAACGATTGATTCATCAGTCATTTCGTCCTCCATGCATCCAACCACCCACCTCACCTGTGCCGCACCTGTTTGGCACACACGCGCGCAACACAATGCAGTGGAGCCACCGTTGGTGACGAGGCTCAACAACCAACCATCACCAGATTCTCCCATCCCATGGCAAGGTACGTTCTCCGGCCGTCCGTCCGTCCATCCGTCCATCCAGCCAGCCAACCAGCCAGTCACCCAGCCATCGTTGAATCTCGCCTGTCATCCTCTCCGTCCACCCACCCTCATCATGTCGCCCTTCCTGCATCCCCTTTATCTCCCTCCCATCCTCACCATCCCATCCCTTCGTCCCTCCCTCCCCTTCTCCTCCCCCCATCCCACCAGGTGCTGAACAGGCGCCACCGTGCACTGGAAGCGTGTGGGTTCATAAAGGCGGACTTCATGAGCATCCCCGTGCCCGACGCCTCCTTTGACGCCGTCTACGCCATCGAAGCCACCTGCCACGCCCCTGATGCCGTGAGTACCACGCCCCCCATGCTGCGAGCCTGCTCTTAGCGTTATGAGCATCCCGGTGCCTGACGCCTCCTTTGACGCCGTCTACGCCATCGAAGCCACCTGCCACGCCCCTGATGCCGTGAGTACCACGCCCCCCATGCTGCGAGCCTGCTCTTAGCGTTATGAGCATCCCGGTGCCTGACGCCTCCTTTGACGCCGTCTACGCCATCGAAGCCACCTGCCACGCACCCGATGCCGTGAGTACCACGCCCCCCATGCTGCGAGCCTGCTCTTAGCGTTATGAGCATCCCGGTGCCTGACGCCTCCTTTGACGCCGTCTACGCCATCGAAGCCACCTGCCACGCACCCGATGCCGTGAGTACCACGCCCCCCACGCTGTGACGCCATGTATTCCCACGTATCCATATCCCCGTTTGCATCCCCGTGCCTTACACATCCTTTGATGCGGTCTAAGTTATCGAAGCCACTTGCCACGCGCCCGACGCGGTGAGTTCGGTAGGAGGCACAGCGATCGCGAATTTGCCGAATGTTACAATCAAACTGACTTGTTTCTGTTTCATTTTGAGTTATTCTATTGTTTGTGGGACAACCATGGTTCATCCCCACGGATCCGTTTGTATCTGCCTTGGCATCCGCAATGACCCTATGCCCCGCCAGGTGGGCTGCTACAGCGAGGTGAAGCGAGTGCTGAAGCCGGGGCAGTGCTTTGCAGCGTATGAGTGGTGCCTCACAGACGCCTACGACCCCAACAACCCCCAGCACCAAGAGGTCAAGGTGAGACATAGAGAGCCGCTATGGAGCACGCTCGAATAGAAAGGTGATCTTTGAGCAGCCTCCAAGGTCGGGGCAGTGCTTTGCGGCGTATGAGACCTGGTACAGAGTACAGTGAACTCAAGAAGGTTATTGAGGCGCCTTAAAAGCCAGGGCAGTGCTTTGCGGCGTACGAGTGGTGCCTTACAGACGCCTACGACCCCAACAACCCCCAGCACCAAGAGGTCAAGTTGAGATGAGACCCGTGACAGTGTATGGTCAACTCAACTCAACAAGGTTGACTAGTGCCTACTCTGCTCTTGCACGAGATTGAGCCCTAACATCCTTTCAACCCCTCTCTGCGAAGCCGCTCTCTGCCCTCCGCCCCCTTTGTCGTGGCCCCCCATGCTCTTCTCCTCGTGCCCGTGGTCCCCATGCTCTCGCCCATGCGCCCCCCCGTGCCGTGTGTTGCGGGGCAGAGGGAGGTGGAGCTGGGGAACGGGCTGCCAGACATCCGCACCACGGCGCAGGTCCGCCAGGCGCTGCTGGACGCCGGCTTCGAGGTGAGCCACCCTCGTGTGCACCTGCCAGGCAGTGCAGGTGGTGTGGCAGTGCGGGTGGCAGTGCGGGTGGCAGTGCGGGCGGCAGTGAGGAGGGACTCTGCTGTGGTGTCTAGGCAAGTGTAGCTGGGAGGTAATGCACTCATGGCTACTTGCTGGATGTGTGCCCCATGTGGATGCCCCATGTGGATGCCCCATGTGGATGCCCCATTGGTGGAAGCTCATTCCATGTGTGCTTAAGTCCCGTTCATTAACTCCTGCCTCCTCCCCACCCCTTTTTTCCCAAGCCTCCCTCACTCCTCATCCCTTGTCGCCCCTCTCTCTCGTCTCCCTCCCCCCCTTGCACAGCTGCTGGAGGCAGCAGACCTGACGGAGACGGCAGAGGTGGCATGGCACAAGCCGCTGGACCCCAGCTACTTCTCGCTCTCACAGTTCAAGCTCACCCGCCTCGGCCGCTTCCTCACCACCACCCTCGTGCGTTCCCTTTCACTTCCTCTCACCACCACCCTCGTGCGTTCCCTTTCACTTCCTCTCACCACCACCCTCGTGCGCTCGCTCTCCTTGCCCTTGCTTGCATTCACAATATGTCCGTTCGCCTCTTCTCTACCTCCCTCATGCATCACCTTCCACTTCCTTCCTCACACCATCTTCTTGCCACACCTCTTCCGATCCCACCTACTCAGTCACTCTTCATTCCTTGCCCCATGTTTGACATACACTATCCTACCAACGCACCCGCCACTCGTGCTGTGCCCATGACACCTCGTCCTCTTATCCTCGCCTCTCTGTCTCTCACTTGTGTCCCCTTCCCATGCTCATGTTGGTCCGTGAAACCATTCCTCCCCCCAATACCATCATTTCTTCCAGCCTACTTTCCCGTCGCTCTCTGTCCCTTCCCCACTCCCCTCCCATTTCTTCCATGTCCGCCCGCCCCTGTCGTACCCTCGCCTGTGGTCCCTGGCCAATCAGGTCCAAGTGCTGGAGAGGCTGCGGATTGCGCCAGCTGGCAGCTACCGCGTGCAGAAGTTTCTGGAGAGGGGGGCGGATGCGCTCGTGGAGGGCGGCAAGTGAGTAGCTTTGATTGTCTGACGCATTACTCAAAAAGCTGTCTCTTTCTGACATTCTCTTCCACCGTGGCTTTAACTTCTTCCCACGCTCGTCCCCACCCCTTCCCCTCAAAATCACACTTCCTCATCCTGCCAGTTTCTCCTCTCCCGCACTCTGGCACTCGTTCATTGTCTTCCCAAGCCATATTTGTATGCCTTGCTGCTCGAACGTCTTGTGTGCAGGAGAGAGATTTTTACACCCATGTATTTCTTCCTTGCTCGCAAGCCTCTGTAGATTTGCTGGAGGTTGCAGTGCGAAACAATCTCGATGTAACCTTGTTTTTTGTGAGCCTCAAAGTAATAAAAATTTTTGGTTGCAAAAATGTATGGACCCATGAGGTAACAAACTACTCGATAATAATTTGAATAGCACAGGAGCTAGTCTCCAATGACATAGACTGTATGCCCTTTCTACGGGTTAAAAACAGTCACCAACTGATACCCTGTCTCACTATTTCTAATCAATTGTGATACCAGCACCAAAAACGCGTCGCGCGGTGTGATTGTCGAATAGCATTCAATCGAGACTATAAAAGAGCTGCAGAGAAAAGCACTATGGAGGGGGCCCGTCCAACCTGGCGTAGTTTTCGCCAGCCTGGGACGCGCAGTTTCCGCAGATGCTTCTGCTTTCTTCTCGTCGTTCTGAGTTTTCGCTCGAAGCTTACCTACTAGGGAATTTGCTTTTGTAGTTTCCTTTCTACTAGTTTTTGTTGTTTATGTGTCGACGAGCAACCTCGAACCCGAAATCGAACACATCCTTTCGTTTCTTCACAAACTGCTGCTGACTAAGCTTATATTTCATTTCCAGGAACAATGATTCGTCGCAGTTTGTTCTGCCCGCGGTGCCGCCGCCGTAGGCGCGACACGCTGAGTCATCACATGCATCCACGCTGGCGAGCCGCCATCAGATGAAACCTGTAATTCGTACCTTATGCTTGCCTGGCTGGAATACACGAGACCATGTGCTTCTTGATTTGTCGTGCGCGCGCATTCGTACATAATCCGAGGAATTTACGAGGGGAGGTCATCACGCCAACAATCCCGGTGAAATTGAGTCTCCCCGCCATCTCTCATTCGTCATTTGCCTTCCTTTCCGCCATCACCGCACCATATCGGTCCTATCCGTCGCGAAGCTTTGCTGCCAGCGGAAACAGACGGACGCGGTTCTTTCTGCCAACATAGTGTTTGTTTCTTAACGCGACTCATGGCGCCGTGGGTTGCGCTCGCGCTCGTGGGGCTCCTGCTGGGAGCCACTGATATCCGCGCGGCTCGCGGAGAGTCGTTTAACTACGACCTTTCGGGCACGGACTGGCCGGTATGTGTTACACTTCGCTTCCTAATGCCGTCAAATCACTCTCTGATTTATGTGTGTCTTTCTTCATACCCTGTTTTTTGAAAAGAAAATTTATTCCTTTCGTGTCACACTTTGATTTCCACTTCGCCTCTCACACCTTCCGAATCCGAAGCTTCTGCCGCTTGTCTGCCTCAACATAGTGACATTGTCACATCGTTGCATCGACATAGTCACATCCGACTGTGCATGCTCTTCCACAGAGTGACACTTTTCCTTGAACCTGCCCCCTCATACAGTCACATTCCTCCTCCTACCTGCCCTCGTCCGTGCAGGGTCTGTGCCAGACGGGCAAGAAGCAGAGCCCCATCAATATAGTCACATCCGCAGTGAAGCGCCCTGATGGGCCGTCGCTGCTTAAAGTGAAGCACCCTCTGAGCCGCGAGATCACCGTCACCAACGAGGAGCACGCTGCTGGTAAGGCGGTTAGCTGTGTGTACGTGTTGCTAATGGGTTGCTAATGGGTCACTGCTGAAAGTGAAGCACCCTTTGAGCTGCGAGATCACCGTCACCAATGAGGAGCACGCCGCCTGTAAGACAGCTGGATATTTGTACGCGTTATAACCAAATCAGGGGCTACTAATGAGTCGCTGCTTATAGTGAAGTACCCTTTGAGCCGCGAGATTCCCGTCACCAACAAGGAGCACGCCGCCAGTAAGACAACTAGCTGCCTGTACGCGTTATAAGTAGCAGGCCACTAATCGGTTTCAGAAAAACCCTCGTGTTGAGACGTCTTGGACTCAAAACCGTCTCAGAGATCTGGCTATGAGCCACCCAGAGGTGACTGACGTCTCAAAAACCACTCAGAGATGACTGACGTGTCTGGAAAGAGGAGGCTGGAGAGGCACTTTTGAAACGACCCAACTCACGGTTTCAAGTGACACACGCCGCTGGCAAGCAAGGTGCCGGCTGTTGCCGATTTGATTCATTTCCAATCTCTCCAAGGGTTCCAAAGAGAGGAATTTTTTTAGTCGACTCAAAAGTCATGCCCAAGCAGCCTTGTGTCTCGCCACCTGTATCGTCTCAAGCAGGCAGCAGCGCTACTCTCTCTTTTCTCTTCCCCCCCGTCCCCTTCATTTCTCATGCCCAGCTGTGTCGCCACAGGCAGGCAAGCGCTACTATTTGACTCTCCCCTCGGGACTGCACAAGCTTGACCACTCCGACCTGCAGGTGACGCGAAGCAATGAAATTCGACATGTGCTGCTGTTGCCGGGTATTTCTAGTCATGTCATGGGTGTTTCGTCGGATGGGGTGTGCTGTTTCCATGGCCAGTGCTTCCGTCTGATGGGTGTTTGTTTCCTGTGATGGTCTTCGCTCGAAGCACAACTTGAACTCGCAGGTGCGTATTTCTGTGCGCAGGGCCGCACGTCCGCTGCCCTGGAGTCCTGATGGTCAACCAACACCCTTCGCTTCGCCCTTCCTCGTTCTCCCCTCTCATTCACCTTACCTCATGCACCTTACCTCATGCTCCTTACCTCATGCACCTTACCTCATGCACCTTACCTCATGCACCTTCCCTCATGCACCTTACCTCATGCACCTTACCTCATGCACCTTACCTCATGCACCTTACCTCATGCACCTTACCTCATGCACCTTACCGCATGCACCTTACCTCATGCACCTTACCTCATGCACCTTACCTCATGCACCTTACCTCATGCACCTTACCTCATGCACCTGACCTCATGCATGCAGGTGCCCAGCATCCACCTGGTGGACGGCGTGCAGGCGCCCATGGAGGCCAAGTTCGCGTATGTGAATGTGGGCAACACCACTCGCAAGTCCGTCTTCACTGTCTTCCTCAAGCTGCACCCCAAAAACAAGGACAACGCCTGGCTCAACCTGTAAGAATCTGCCACGTGAGCAATTAAGGTGCTAGCTTCTGTGCTGTTAGCCATGCGTGGTTGTGCGCATACAAGCTCGTGAACGGCCGTCTTCTGGATCTTCCTCAAGCTGCATCCCAGGGAGAAGGCTAACGCGTGGCTCAACTTACAAACAAGCACCTTATCTTGAAAGCACCTCATCACTGTAACCAGCAGAATCATAAGTTGCTCCTTTTACTCACTTTCCTGCTCAGCCTCTCAATTCGACTCTTGTCACAGCACCACTCTAAGCGCCATGGCCTGCCACGCCGCTCACTCTCTCTTCTCCCTATTCTCCCCGCCTGTTCTCCCTCCCCTCAGCTGGCTGAACGACATCCCAGCAGTGGTAAACGGCACAGCCGATGTGGCAGCGAAGGCCAATTTCCTGGAGTTGCTTCTATCTCCCCTTACTCTCCAACCTTCGTTTCCCCCTGTTTTTCCAGCTGGCTGAATGATATCCCAGCAGCGGTGAACGGCAAGGCCAAGATAGCAGCAAAGACCAACTTCTTGGAGCTTCTTCCTTACCTTGCTTCCTCCCCTTACCCTCTACTCTCTCCGTTGCCCCCAGCTGGTTGAACGATATTCCAGCAGCAGTGAACGGTACGACCAAGATAGCAGCAAAGACCAACTTCCTGGAGCTGCTGTCGTTCAATGCGCCCTTCTGGTACTACGAGGGCTCACAGGTGCACCCGCCCTGCACTGAGACAGTCGACTGGTTCATCTCCATGCGCCCCAAGTTTATCTCCACTCGCCAGGTGCGACGTTGTTGGCGCCTCAATGGTCATCTCTCTGCCTGCAGGTGTTCCCTAGGCGCCGCCTTAAAGGTGCACCCGCCCTGCACTGAGACAGTCGACTGGTTCATCTCCATGCGCCCCAAGTTTATCTCCACTCGCCAGGTGCGTCGTTGTTGGCGCCTCAACGGTCATCTCTCTGCCTGCAATTGTTCCCAAGGCCCAGGCCAGAATTACCGAGTCGGGGTGGCGAAGTGTCGCCACTTTCATGCGATTGGTCCAAATTTCCTGTTGGTTTTCGACTGGATTGGTTTCGGATTTTCCAACCGAACCTCCTTCTGGGGTTTTCCGAACCTCGGACTTTCACGTTGACTTCGTTATGTAATTCGGGCTTTGGGTTTTAAAGGTGCACCCGCCCTGCACTGAGACGGACGACTGGTTCGTCTCCATGCGCCACAAGTTTGTGTCCACTCGCCAGGTGCGTGGGTGCTGGGCGCTGGGAGGGGTCATGAGTGTTTGACTCTGCAATGCCGTTGATTCTCACTCATTGGCTCGTCTCCACTCGCCAGGCCAGTAGACGCTCCCTCCCCATCCCTCTCCCTCCCTCTCTCCCGCTCTCCAGCTCGCCACATACATGAACTTCCTATCGCGCACCAACAGTGGCGATCGCACCAACAACAGGCTGCCACAGCCCCTCAACGCCCGCACTGTCTCTGTCTTCCGCGCCTCTTAGGTTTCATCCATGTGCACTGCCATGCCTGCCTCGTAGTCCGACTCAAGAGTCGCAGCAACAGCAGGCTGCCACAACCCCTCAACGGCCGATCTGTCTCGGTGTTCCGTGCCTCATAAATCCCATGTTGGGAAGGGTGGGGGAGGGTGGTGTTGGGTAAGGTGGGAGAGGGTGGTGTATGTGTTGGGAAAGGTGGGAGGGGGTTGTCTAGGTGTTGGGAAAGGTGGGAGGGGGTTGTCTAGGTGTTGGGAAAGGTGTGAGGGGGTAGTCTAGGGTGTTGGGAAAGGTGGGAGGGCATAGTCTAGGTGTTGGGAAAGGTGGAAGGGGGAGTAGGAGAGGGAGATAAACGTGGCAGGCAGCTTGCCAGCTTAGGGGGTTGGTTTGGGGAGGGAGGGTGGACTATCGGAGTGTTGGTTGGTCTGAGCTAACCAGACAGCTGGCAGTGTGTTGCATGCATCTCGGTGGCTTTTACCAGGAGTTTGCTTCTATCTACCGTACGCGGTGCTGCACAGCTTTGCTACGTGGTGGCATCATATGGCCTCGGCATTGGTCATGCCTTGTGCCCCCAGTAACGGTGCCATCATGTGTGAACAGGGCTAATTTTATCAGTGTAAATCACCCTGATACCCTGATAATCAGGGTGATTTTTTATGGTCACACTGATGGCCTCGGGTATTTTTTTCGAGAAATAGGTTTACCCTGATGTGTCAGTTTTTTTGTGTAAGGCACACTGATGCCAAGGGTTTCTGAATCCCGTAACGAGTTTTACCCTGTACCGAGTACCCCCCCCCCCCCCCCCCCCCCCCCCCCCCCCCCCCCCCCCCCCCCCCCCCCCCCCCCCCCCCAACCCCGCCCCCTGGTACACCCACCCCCCCTTTCCCGTAAGATGGGAATCCCGAAATGCAACTTTCGAAGCCGGAATTTCGGCCTTGTCAACTCATGTGCTGGCACACGGTGGGCCACCATTGGCCAGGATAACAGTTTCTTTTTTGGCAGCGCCACCGACGCAACTCGGTCTCCTTGTCTGGCATGACAGTATGGCCGGGTTAGCTGGAAACGTGGCTGACTACGAGCCAGAGGAGGAAAGTGACCACGATGAACACCCTTGCGGCTTGTCTGATGACGATGATTAAATTCTGTATTGAGTGCTTTTAGTAAAATGTACAATCAGGCTATATTTTAATTGAACACTGATGAGCCAGGGTTTTTTTTTTTCGATAATTAGCTTTACCCTGATGGAAAAGTTTTCCCACGAGGGGTCACACTGATCCTAAACCCAAAACGCTTGGGGCACACTGATGATAAGGGTTGGTCAAAACGAAAAATTTGGCCTGTGTGTGAAGTGACGACTGGCTGGGCATGGGTGGTGGCGGTGTGTGGGGTTGATGATTTGTTCGTTTGGGACAAAGATTTGGCAAATAAGTGTGGTTTTGCCCTGCTGTTTGTTTCTATTTCTAGTCCTTGCAATTGAAATCCGAAACAATGTTCTGTGCTCTTTGTTACACACAGAAGACATCAGCTGCTACTAGTCACACTCAGCATTTGAGAAAGCTTGCTTCTCACTGAAAACACTCCACCAGCACATGATCTGAACATGGGATTTCGAATACTGAACCAATTCAGATGTTCTCATTCGTATGCATCCCCATGGGCAGGCGCCCTATATTTACAACACTAGCCTGTAGCTGCCATGCGTATGGGATGATGTGGGGTGATTCAGTTCCTCCCTGGGGTGGTGCTCAGAAAAAAAACCACCATACTCCACCACACTCCACAGTACTCCACCTTACTTGTGACCCCAAGCATCGGCCACCACTGTCTGGCACAACAACACTGAGACTGCCTGGTTTCTAAGCAGCGCCCACCATTGGCACCCCATACTCTCACTTCAGTCCTCTAGCACCCAAGCCCCCTGCTGCAGCCTGCTAGCACCCAAACCCCCTGCTGCAGCCTGCGAGCTTAGTGAATAGGGACGCCTCAAGCTGGGCTCTGAGAGCACCCTTGGGGAAGGCGGGCGTGGTGACGAGCACGTAGAAGGAGGAGGGCATCTGGCAAGGAGGGCAAGGGGGATGTGGAGGGGAAGAGGAGAGGGCTGTGAGAGTCATGGCTCTGAGCTGGGCTCTGAGGCCGCCCTTGGGGAAGGCAGGCGCGGTGACAAGCACGTAGGAGGAGGGCATCTGGCAAGGAGAGCAATTGGAGTGGAGGGGAAGATGAGCAGAAGGGAGGAATTGAGCTGGGCCCTGAAAATTCCCTTGGGGATGGGGGTGTGGTGACGAGCACATGGAATGATGAGGTCGTCTGCCAGGGAGGGGGAGGGGGTTGGAGAGGAAGAGGAGAGGGGGGTGAGAATGTACGATACGAGCTGAGCTGGGTTCTGCGAGCGCCCTTGGGAAGGCAAGCGTGGTGACGAGCACATTGAAGGATGCAGGTATCTGCGAATGGGGGGGGGGGGAGAAAGGGGGGGGATGGGAGAGAAAGCAGAGAGAGGGAAGTAAGAGTGAATGTGAGAATGGTCGTTCTGAGCTGCCCCCCCCCCACCCCCCCTGAGGGCACCCTCTGAGCTGCCCCCCACCCCTCCCTTCCTGAAGGCTCCCCTGGGTAATGCGGGGCGTGGTGACAAGCACGTAAAGGGGGGGATGGGGGGAAGAGAAGGAGAAGGCGGAGAGGGAAATGAAGTGGAGGGACGGGACGTGAGAAAGATCGCTCTGAACTGCTCCCCCTGAGGGCACCCCTGGGGAAGGCGGGTGTGGTGACGAGCACATCAAAGGAAGCAGGCAGCTGCCAATGAGGGAAGGAAAGGGAAGAGAGGGAGGGAACGGATGAGGGGTTGAAGGGAAGGAAGAGAGGTAGCGACGCTTTCAGCCGCCCTTTTGAGGGCGCTTCTGGGAAGGTGGGCGTGCTGACAAGGATGCAGAGGGAGGCAGGCGTCTACCAGAAGGGAGAGACGGAGGAAGGGATAAGAAGGGTAGCGAGCAAGTAAATGTGTGGTTATGAAGGGTGTGGTGTGGTGAAGAGGACGTGGAAGGAAAGGGGTGCTGAGAGGGGAGGGGAAGGGGATGAAGAACGAGAGAACCGGAAAGGGAGTGGGAAGGGGGAAGGGCCGAGCATTGTTGACATGTGAAGGTGCTTTAGGGAAAGGAGAGAGTAGTGAACAGGAGATGAAAGGGAGATGAGAAGAAATGTGAAAGGTGGAAGGGGGATTGGGGGGTATAGCTGATAACGAAGCTAGGGGGAATGGGATGAGAGGAGGTGTTGGGAAGGGGACGAAAGAAGGAAAGGGGTGGGAGAGAGGGGTTCGGGAGAGGGAAGGGGGTAGGAGAGGGACGGTGGTGGGAGAGGGACGGGGGGGAGAGGGAAAAGGGAGGGAGACGCAACTGAGTGAGAAAGGAAGGTGGCGCACGTTGGTGGTGACAATACTTTTCACAATGGCTCTCAGAATGATTTTCACGATGGTTTACCGGCCTTGACGCTCGGAACAGTGAGATAATGGGATGCTGCAACATGGTATATGCATGCAATCAGTCTCTCGTAAGGAGTGGCACGTTACTGTACCCGCATGATCATCGAAAACAGTAATTTCAGCGATTCTCCTGTCGGAATCCTCTTCTTGCTCGCCTGCTTGAACACGCCCTGCAGTGCAAATCCATTTCCTGCGCCAGTCCCCGTCCCCTTCCCCTTCCCCTTCCCCTTCCTCTTTCCCTTTCCCTTCCCCCGTCCAAAAAGGTTTCCCACGTTGCCCCACGCCTTGTCAGCAGTGCCAGCAGGGATCCACGTGGACGAGTTGAGGTCGAGGATGGATAGACCGTTTTTTGTGGAGGCTGCCACGTGGAGGGATGCTGACGTGGGCTTCTCTGGCGTGCTGAGCTGGCTGACCGTGACTTGGTAGCGGATGTTGAGATCTGCTCCCGATCTGCCACGTCGAAGAAGGGGGAGAGATGGGAGAGGCGGGGTTGATGGGGAGAAAAAGCGAGCCCAGATGAACAAAAAGTGAGAGGATGGGGAATCAAGAAAGTAGGGTTAGGAGGCAACGGAAGGGTGGGATGGTAGCATGGGAGTTAAGGGGTGGTATCATTGTTGCAAGAATGAGATAGAATTTGCTTCCATGTAGGAAAGAGTCATAAAAATTTTTGCTAGAATTCGGGGAAGGAGCGGTGGTGGGGAGCAGAGGGGATTGAGGAGGGGGGGTTGGGTGGAAGGGAAAGGAGCAGGAATTTAGTGTAACTGGCAATACTCTTTAGCTTGCTCGAGCTGTTATTAGATGAGCTTTTAGTGATCCTGATGTTTCCTGTTGCTTCTTACGAGTACATTGTGATTATCCTTTGTAAATTGTGTAACCTCATAATTTCTTAAATTTATAACAAAAAAACATTTGAGATGCATACTGTACTCTTACTTGATTATTACAAACGTCACTTTGCCGGAGGCCCCGCGGTCGCCCACGCTGCCGACCACATTCGCACCAGACAGTGTGCCGTGCACCTCTCCTGTCGAACAAGACGACGCGACATGGGAAGGGGAAGCAGCTAGATCTGACTCGCATTCGCACCAAACACCTCAGCTTGCGCGGGGACGGGGTAACACAGTGCAGAGCAGAAGGGGTCGGCGAGGATAAGCGGGAAATCCAAGGGGGGGAAGAGGTGTAAGGGGGATTAGTGAGTGGGAAATGGCGCTAGAGTTTGCAGAGAGGGTTGGATTGAGGGAGAGGGTGGAAGAGGAGCGGGTATGTGTGGTGGGGCGGAAGAGGGGAAGGGAAGGGGGAGGTTGGGAGGCAAGTACGGAGTAGGAAACCCCGCTAGGCGAAGTCTCATTTTATGGTTCGGGATTAAAATGCACAGGCACACTTGACGACGAGGCAGAGACGGAACGGGATTGTGGGTATGGGGGGTCGTTGGACACGTGGACGTGCAGGGAGGAAGCCACGTGGATCAAGGACTCACTGAAAGGAACAGCGATCAGTTTCTGCTGCAGCTCCGTTATATTCACATCCTGCTGCCCGCCTCCGCCTCCACCTCCGCCTCCACCTCCACCTCCGCCGCCGCCGCCGCCGCCGTCGCCGCCGCCGCCGCCGCTACCAGGGAAGCCCGGAATTCCCGACTTTGATGCGACGACTGGAGGGGCGTGAGGGAAGGGGGTTGGAAGGGGGGAAAGAGTAAGGGGAGGAAGAGGACGGGCGGACGCAACGGGGATACTGGGAGAGAGGAGGATGAAGTCAATATTTGAGGGCGCCTCACAAATTTACCAGGGAATTCAGGATTGATGTCTGTTTGCGACGACTGGAGGGGTGTGATGGAGGAACTGGAGGGCGCGCGGGAGAGAATGGGAAAGAGGGGGATAATGGTAATATGCTTGAGGAGCCTCACGAGTGTACCAAAAAAATCGGGATTGATGTCTGTCGGCGACGACTGCAGGGGTGTGATGGAGGTACCGGGGGGAGGCAGGGCTGGCCGGCGCACGGGGAAGAGTGGGGGAGAGGAGGATAAAGACAATTTAATGAGGCGCCTCACGATCCGCCAGGAAATGCAGGGTTGCTGCCTGTAGTGCGGCGATTGCAGGGTTATGAAGGAGGAACTTGAGGGAGGCGGGGCAGGCGGGCGCTTGGGGGGAGAGTGTGAGGGAGGTGCCTCACAAACCGCCAGGAAAGCCAGAATCGCGGTCTGAGATTCGCGTAGATTCGCGTGTGTACGATTCAGGGGCTGTGGCGCTGTCGTGGGGAAAATGAATCGAGAGGGGGAGAGGGGGGGTGCGGAATCAAGCGCGTGTGGATCGACGGGGCACAATGAAAGGAGGTTTTCTCTCCAGCCGCCGCCAGGAATTTTAGCGGCTTAGAAATCGACAAAGCCTTCGTCAACCGCTTTCGAGGCGCCTAAATGATTTCCAAATCCGTTGCCAGCATGTCAAGCGGTGTTTCGATGTGCCGACTGGAACTGACTGATCAAGAGGCATATCCTGCCATTACAGTAAAATGAGTATTTCCGAGAAATTGGATAAAAACTTCGCACGAACCATGGAATGGGCCAACGGGAACTGACAGTGCATTGGCAGACGCTGTTTACGTCGGACTTATGCGTCACCCAGAAATACAATAACGGCAACTTACTGTGCATTGGCTTATGCTGCTTGCTGGTTTGCACATCATCTCACGTTTTTTTTCAGTCGACTCAGAAATAGGCCAACATGATCCGACTGTTCATTGGCATACGCTGTTTGCTGTTATGCCAGAGGGTGATCGCCTTACGCTTTTAGATTACAGGGAAGTCCGCCTTTGTCAAGGATTCTCTGCATGCGTTCTGGTGTACTTGAGAGGGAAGACCAGCGAGGAACAATCCGTAGGCTCCTCGTAAGACGACTCACGGAAAGGCAGAATAAGCGTTGTTAATAGCGTTGCCTGCCATCGAAAACTTAGCGAAGTGCCACGTCGGCGTCGATAAGGCGAGGAGCTGGCTGAAAACGTCGTGTCGCACATGCTGCTAATCTGTTTGCAGCGCGATTTCAGTGCTCCTTACGGTGTCTTCGTCGGTTGTGGTTCGAGATACTGTCCTCTCCTATGATACCAAATTCTCCTCAAGCGCTGGCGGAACAATAAGACCCTTCTTCGAACCAGGTGAGAGCGTGGAATCTGGTTTCCCTACGACGGTGCTTGTGGAGCTGTAAGTGAACGCTATTCACTTCAGTGGTCGATTGCTACGGTCTACGTCGGAGCCAAGGGCGATGACCTCGAAAGGAAGACGCGAGTTCAGAAACGGAATGAGCAAACGGGCACGCGTTTGTGTCCTGTCCAGTGTCGAGACGCGTGGGGTCTCTTGTTGCTTGTGGTTCGTGCAGTAAGATTCTTGAGGCGCTTATGTTGTAATGAGAGGCAAGATTGCGCCCCGGGTAATTTAGATTTGTGGGGCACTTGCAATAGATTCTGGAAGAATTGCAGGGATGGCACAGTAGAGCCATTTTACGTGCTGAGCAGAACGCGGTCCGGTAAACATGGCACATTGGATTGGATCATCCTCCTCTCACACCGCATTTCCTTCGGTGCACCCCATGACCTGATTCAAAACTTCTCGATACTTCACAAAAATCAGACGATAGTGTCTCTTCTTCATACATTGTATGTTATTAACTATTACATCATGCTATGTTAACTTCAAGCTTAATTTTTGGTTCGTCGTCATGAACGAAAAAAATGATGCTTGATTTGGAAAAGGAGAAGAACAAATACTAAGGTATTCTCCTGTTACCAAGAAGGGTGCCATTGCTGTTGCGAAGGCTATGGGTGGGCGCAAATGCGTGCTAGTGCTGGTCTGAATGACATGACAAGCAAAAACACTTGAAAGAGAAGAGCTGCAGGCCTAATACGCTCTTCGTAGTTGCCGCACCGTGCAAAGGGGTGATTGGGAGTTGAGAGGTATTGATACAGATCCGCCCGCCATGGCCAGTTTCTATTCCAGGAAAGGATGGGCAAGCAACAATGCCAGCATTGGAGCTTCAGTGGCGCCTAGCAAATCATGGATGGATGGCTGCTGGTGTGATGCAGAAAAGCATATTTCGATGGAACCTCAGGTCTGGTTTGACAAATCATGCACTGAAAGCAACTGCCACAGTTTCGATGGGCAGCACCCCTGCAATCATGGCATATGGGACGGAGTGGAAAATTGATCAGTAGGGTTACAGCATGCGCAGCGCTCCTTGCAATAGTGCAATGGATGGCATGGGGAGGGGTGGGAAATGGAAGGGATGTCATCACGTCAAGGCCACTCTCTGCCATGATTGTGCACCGAGGGACTGACTGACCCATGGTGTTCACAAAAGAAAAAAATCTGGTGTGCTTACTTCAATGGAGATAACAAAGAGGATGCTCATTCCGTTATGTATGCCTAACGGATATCCCTAACTAGGCCTAGTAAGTATTGAAACTACCGTATCTATGTGTATAACTTGGAGGGCGCGTTCACGAGGAGATCCCTCGCGCCCAGCCAATATCCTAGGTCCGGATTACGCACGCACGCTCAGTCATCGCAGCTCCCCCAACCGCTGCTGTAGCTGCTGCTCCTGCGGCGGTTGCTGATGCCTTCTGCCTTGGCTCCTGCTCTGCTCATGCTTCGGTCGCTAAACGATCCCTCTCCCATTGGAAACGTTGGGGGTAAATTAGTCGCTGCTGATTGAAAGCTGCCCGCGAACAGCGCCAAGTGGATAAGCGGGCGTTTTCACGACGATGTAGAACTGCTTTGGGTCCCTGAGAATCGCGAGAATCAGCTGCTTTACAGTCTCGCCCGATACAATCTTGTCCTCGCTCGTCGCGCTGTACGTTCCGCTAAGCATGTAGTTGTTCCCCTGCGTCGTCCGCGTTACAAGGCGCTTCGCGTTGGGGTTGAAGCGGCGCCAGTTAGCCTTCTCGAAGCGGAAGATCTCGGGGCCGTTGGCGCGGGCCCGAGCCACGTGGATGGCGGCGGACACGGGCACCTCGGTGTTGGTAAGCTGCGACACGGTCACCATGTAGTTAAGGCTGAAGTCGCCACGCCACCTGCGGGGAGAAAGCAGCGGGGAGAGAGAGAGAGATGATGCGAGGAGGGCGGGTTAGGAGCGAGCGAGAGAGGCAGGCACCTCGGTGTTGGTGAGCTGCGACAAGGTCACCATGTAGTTAAGGCTGAAGTCGCCACGCCACCTGCAGAGATGGAGCCGGGAGAGGTGGGGGGGGAGAGAGAGAGGGTGAGAGGACGGTGAATAAGGAGAGAGCGAGAGAGGCAGGCACCTCGGTGATGGAGGCCTGCGAGACGGTTACCATGTTATTGAGAATGAAGTCGCCGCGCCAGCTGAGGGGAGAGGATCAGTAACGCGGATACGACGGTGAACAGACCAGGAATTAATCGGAAAACAAGGGGGCAGATGGTTTATGTTCAGACAGAAAACGCGGCCAAGGGGGCGTTAGGACTAACGGACGTGAGCAAGAAGCTATGGTGAGCAAACCTCACGGAAAATCGGTCTCCCGCAAACTACAATCCAGATAAGAGCGCAACGCATAAAGTACACTCACTTATACACGACGAGGTTGGCCCAACCGGTGGCTTGCTGATCGCCCGTGGTGGCGACGATATCGCTGCCGGTCATGCTCGCGTGGAGCTCCTCTGTAACCAAGAAGGTGGGAAGAGAGTTTGGAGGTTTAGATAAGAACGTTGGTTCTTGTGGATTCAGAGCTGGACTTGTATGACCCCGTCTCTAGACATAACACTCCGCCCAGCAGGCAACACTGGGGGAATTCGGGCCACGGACGAATCGGACGCCTGAAATTGTTGCTCTGAAAACCATGACATGTAGTTGTAGACTGAATAATCTGTTAATAAATTAACTCAATCACCTCTCCTTTCCATTGAATAATAAAAACGGGCTTCCAGACTTACTGTAGGGTACTCTAAGAATCCCTGCCGTTAATCGCGTGGTATTGAAGACTGCCGCCCAGTTGATGGCCCGGCCATTCCGCGTTTGCGCGAATGAGCCTGCGTTGTAACGGAGGCATCGCATAGAAGGTACAAGGCGTCAGACACGGTGAGGTGAAGAGGCAAAGGTGGGAGAAAGAGCAGAAGGGAGGGCTATTTAAACAACGTAAATATGTGGTTCTAGCTGAGACGAATATCTTTCCTCCACACGGAAAGGATATCAGCGAGATAACATCAGCGCTTCTATTGAACGTACATGAAACAGGCAGGAGTAGGACCAGAACGAATAGCAGCGTTGTTCTTGATGCCATTTCCACTCCTTTGCGAAGAAACACTCGACTCTAGTTCAGCAGAAGGGTGCCTACAGTGTTCTCGTGTAGTTAATTGTCTGATACGAGGGGAGCAACTAGCATAACTTGAAAACAAGTCCCGTACTGATCATGTACGCCGAAAATTGTGCCTTTTTAGAAGCTGAAGTAGTTGTCAATGGTTGTTTTTGTGGTTAGCGGCTCCTAACGGTTGTGACGAATTTGAAGAGGCGGAACCCTTGTTGCTCCTGGAATGCTGATGAAATTGTGCACGACCGAATTGGCTGGAGGTGGGTGGTATTCAAATTGCGGCATGCGGCGCGTCCAGGTGCGGCTCGGATCAAGAAAAGGTGATGGAGTTGGCTCTGGCTGGGTGCTTGTTCGTGCGGGTTTTGCGGAGGGGGTGTTGTGGGGGGGAAGTGCTGGCGCCCAGATTTTGGACGGTAGTAGCTGGCGCATTTGAACACCGTGGCCACGAAACCCCGCACTTGTCGCTCGCATCAGCGACAGACACTTCTGCCATCCAGGATTTGTGCGACTACACCCCCTCACTGGTAACCAAAAAAGTCTCATATGATAAGTTCAGCTCTTTCTCAGAACACTTCGAAAAACTATTAACTAGGGGAAACAGACAGATAAGTGATAGTCATGCTCTATGGTTGTTGGTAATTTGAGACTCGACTGCCTAATCTAAAGAAGATTGCGGCCATTCTGCCCGCCATTCCCCTGGTGACAATTGCACGACATTGATTGCCCAGTGGGCAGCAGAGAGCTTCGACCACAAAGCACAGAGAGATCATGAACACCAAGACCTTAAAAAATGGTGAGCAGAAGGTGGGGAGAACGACCGTGATAACGGCTAGCAAACAGAAAATTGAGGTTTATGCAGGCTCCACACACACACTCACCTTGTCCAGAAACTGTGAATACTCTGATGCCATCCAGGCAGCTGCCCGAGCCTCCGCCGCCTCCACTGGTGACAGCCTCGACAAAGCTCCACTTCCTGCCGAGCCTGCATCCGGGCCTATTGCATTCCGAGCATCTTGCCAGACCTCTTGGAGGGCTATGAGAGCGTGGATGTACGCCCGAAGCACGTCCACATTCGATGCATCTCGATGAATGATGGCGTGGACGTGCGGCAATGATGGCAATGGTGTTGGTGGAGATTGTGATTGTAATGATGGTGATCTTGTGGATGTGAACACCAGAAGGTAACGGCCTGAGGGGGATGGAGACAAGCGATTGGAGAGAGTGGGAGAGGAGCATAGGAGTAATGGGGAAATGCTGCATACATTTGGCAGGCGATAGGGAGGAAAATGAGTAAATTGTTTTATCAGAGCAGAGGGTTGTGTTGCGAATTTAAGGGGTGAGGCAACTTCAGAATTGCACAGGCCATTAGAGACGACTTTTGAGGCGACTCAAAAGTCATTCAGGATTGCACAGGCCAATAGAGGCGGCTGGGACTCGAAGGTGATACGGACAAGAAAGCAAGAAAGCAAGAAAGCATAGGCGGTATGCGCATTGAAAGGAGGGAGAGAGTAGAACAAATTGTTGCAACGATTCAGATGGAAGCAGCATGGAGATGGGCACAACGAAGCAGAGTGCGATAAGAGGCAGAGTGGGATGAGAGGCGGTGTGCATGAGTTTCAGAGCGTTCACAAATAATGCAGACTCAGAGTGTGCGACTTGCATGGTCACCTTTGGCATAGCGTCTGATGGCTTGCCGCACCGCAAGGTCTCTAGCGAGGGGGCGACAAGCAGACGGGGAGGGCCGACAGGGCAGGAAGTAAAGCAGACAGCAGGTGGAGGGAATGGGGGAGAGGAGCGGAGAACGAGGACCGTAGTGAGGACGAGAAGCAAGATAGAGGATGAGCTAAAATCAAGAAAGGATGAGCCAGCGTGAAGTATTCGAGATGATGTGGCACAACGCAACTGGCATTACAAAGTGGGGAGAAATGAGGTGGGCAGGCAGGTGAGCAGCCAACAATAAGAATGACGGGAAGGTCAAACGAAGAAACAAAATATGTATCTGTAAGTTTGTGTGTGCGTGCGTGCACGCGCGCGCGCGCGTGCGCGCGCGCCCGCGCGAGTGTGTGTGTGTGTGTGTGTGTGTGCGCGCGCATATAAACGTGTATGTATATCTGACATGTCCACGTACAGTTTCTTGCCGTGCAAGTCACTCAACCGAGCTCCCAAATGCACATGCCCCATGAGCATGTGCGCCCTGCCGTGGCTGTCCTGAGGCAGGGAGGGAATGAGGCGCTCCTGTAGAGAGACAGCGGTTGGTGAGAGGACTGCAGAGGGGTGGAGGGGAGTGGGAGGGAACGGAGGGGAGTGGGAAGAAGTGGGGGGAGTGGGAGGGAGTGAGGCTTTCCAGACACAGAGTTCAAGACTAGAGCACAACACAATAAGAACCCCCATAGATACCCAGAACTGCCTAAACCGTCGCTCACCTCTCAACCATGAAGAGCTGTACATCCCACAGCTTCCTTATCCCCAACCCATGAGGTGACTCTTGAGTCGACTCAAAAGTCACCTTATCCCCAACCCATGCACCCCTCTATACCTCCCACCTTGTCTCTGCTCGCTCCTGCACCCCTCTACATCCCACACCTTGCGTCTGATCGCCTCGGTACGCCAGCAGCAGCAGTGCAGCCCTCTCCCGGTTGAGGCTGGTGAGGCACAGGCTCTTCACAGCGCGGTAGTTGGCTGCTCTGTTCGTAGCGTGGGGTAGTCGAAGGGGGTTGTGGTGGATGGAAGGAAGGGAAAAGGCCAGCAGTATTTTCGTGAGGCTGAGCCTCCTCCCTCTCCCGCTTGAGGCTCGTGAGGCACAGGCTCTTCACGGCACGGTAGTTGGCTGCTCTGTTTGCAGTGTGGTTTTGGGGGAGGGGGGTTGTGGGAGAGTGAGTGGTATGGGGAGTAGCGGGAAGTATTGTTGGGTGTGTCAGGACCAGGCTCTTCACATCACAGCACGATAGTTGGCTGCTGTGTTGGAGAGGGTGGAGGGAGGGAGTGGGGGAGGAGGGAGGAGGGAGGGGGTGGGGAAAAGGAAGGGGTGGTGAATGGGGAAGGGAGGGGTATGGGGAGACGTGGGTGGTATGGCTTGTGTGTGTGAGTGTGAGGCACACGCTACTCACACCGTGGCAGTTGGCTCCTGCGATTGTAGTTTGGAGGGGGAGGGAGGCGCGGAGGGGTTGCGGGGAGAGAAAGAGGCACGGGGAGAATCCTCAAAAGCAAGGCGAGGGAGACGCGACGCGAGCAGGGGAAATCACTTGGAGTTTTTTTGAAAAGCGAGGAATAGGAAGGAACGAGCACTTCTGAGAATCCTCAAAAGCAAGGCACAGGGAGAAGCAGGAACAAGGGAAAGCAGAAGGAGACGAAGCATAGGTGCATGGATGGAATCAAATGGGAGGCACGCAGGAGGAAAGAGAGCGTGGGAGAGAATATAGCGAGTAACGCACACTGGTGGTGCGGAGGGAGGAGTGAGAAGCATCGCGAGCAGCATGGCGATTCACTACACACTGTACCATAGATGTGGAAGGCGGTGAGAGAGAGGAAGACAGCCCACAGCAGCAGCACGTTACCCGCCACCAGCTGCCCCACTAGCATCCCTGCCAGCATGCCTGCCATCGTTGCTGCTGTCTCCTGACTGCCCTCCTGCCCGTGTGTGCGTGGGAGCAGGAGAAGAGAGAGGGGAACTGATAGGTTTGCATGTGTCTTGTCTTGTGAGGACGGCCCACAGCAGCAGCACGTTGCCACCTACCAGCTGCCCACCACCATCCCTGCCAGCATGCCTGCCTGCCATTGACTTTGACCACCACCACTGCTTCTTTCTCCTCCCCCCACCAATCTTCCCACAGCTGAGGATTTGCCTTTGAAATGTGAACATGGCAAATCGACAATGTGTCTTTAGGTACCTTGGCTGAAATATCTGCTGCGTTCTGCCTCTTAGCAAAGTGCTGTGTAAGTGCCGCTCTGGTGGCCCCACTGGCCGTGCCGGCTGAAGGAATCGGTGGGAGGAAAAAAAAGTCAAGGGAGAGTAATGGAGGGTTGGAAAATGGGGAGTGAAGGAGGGGTTGACAGGGAGAGAGCCACATGGGTACCTCAATTGCCTGTAACTGGATTATGGTAACCACATGGGATGGACAAAGGGACACTAGATGGTATGAGCATGACTAACAATATGAGAAAGATACGAAGCATGAAAAGGCGGTTGCAGGGAGTTGGGAGCGGTGGAAGGACAGCGTGGGAGGCAAGGAATGCAGGAGACATGGTTCATCATCTTATACACAAAACACATCTGCCCCAAAAAATGACATGAGGAGTTGAACATGAAACAACTAACTGCCACCACGAGTGTATATTATAAGCAGAGATACGGTCACGTGGCTCTTCAACATACAAGAATACCCACCGAAGGTTCGGTCAGGAGAAATATTTAATGATGCCCGTGAAATTTCTGTGGTTCGGAGAGGCCTCGGAACTCAGCAAGGAGACATATGTACCGTGTGTGTACTTCAGGGGCGAGAATACAAAGCTCAGTGAGGAAACGTACTTATAGCTCGTGAGATACTCCCAAGGCATAGCAGCGGCAGGAAGGCGGAGGGCACGAGGGGCGAAAGCAGATCCAGAAGCATTCCTGCGCGTGCATGGAGGAAAGGGGAAGGGAAAAGGCGAAGAAAAGAGAGATAGAGAGCAGCAGCACACACAAACATGAAAGACGGAAAGGAGAGGTGTGTAACGGGGGGCGCACAGCGAGCTGGTTTTTGAGAATTCTCAAAAACCAGGGAAAGGAGAGGTGTGTAACGGGGGGCGGACAGCGAGCTGGTTTTTGAGAATTCTCAAAAACCAGGGAAAGGAGAGGTGTGTAACGGGGGGCGCACAGCAAGAGAGCAAAGAAAGAGAGAGAGAGCATGCGGAGAAGCAGCAGCAGCGCACCGACATCATTGATGACGTCAGCAGCCAGCCTCCACTGCTTGGCATTGCTGTCAAGGTTCGATCCCTGCAGGCAGCAACAGAGAAGGTTTGGGTTAGAATGTTAGTGATTGAACGCTCGCGAAGTGGGGGGTCAGAGGGTTTAGAGTTGAGGACCTAAAATAAGGAAGGGGAGTCACAAAAGGGTTCAGGAATTGATGCTTTGGGTTGATGGAAGGGCTAACGTTTGGTTGATGAGCTCGCATCGTTTGCCCTTTTGCATTTGGAAACAGCTGGGAGGAGCTAGTTGTGACAACAGCGCGGGCCAGACAAGAGCTGCATATAATCAGCGCCCCGTATAAGCTGAAGAGTGCATACAGTGAAGAAAACGATAGCACCTAACTAACTACGTAATAATAATGATTTCACTGTGCCATTACTGTACCTTGTACATGGCGAAAAGAATCCCTCCGAGCATGCCTGTGAAGTCACGCACAAACCACTGCTTTGAAGAATGGGGCAGGAGGTGAGAGACAGAGACTTGAAAGCAGATTTATAGGAGAAGAACGGGAGGGAGGGAGGGCCAAAGGGACAGGCTTCACGAGGCAAGGAGCGGTTGAGGCAATGCAAGGAGCACTTAAAGCCTTAAAGCCTGACCTGAAACGTGGCGCTGATGGCTGATGCAGATGCTCGGCCCACTCCCAGCCCTGCCAGCAGCACCTGGGAGGACGCAGGGTAGGATGAGGGGGGGGGGGGGGTGTGAGACTGGGGAAGAGATGCCAAGAGGTCGAGTCGAGAGGCGGAGAGGCAGAAGGCGGAGAGGCAGAGAGGCAGAAGGCGGAGAGGCAGAGAGGCAGAAGGCGGAGAGGCAGAGAGGCAGAAGGCGGAGAGGCAGAGAGGCAGAAGGCGGAGAGGCAGAGATATGGTGCATGTACCTGCGTGGATAGCATGCTGCGGATGTATGTCGAGAGTCCCTGCCAAGGAAGGGGAGAGGGGGTCGGGAGGAAAAGGGGGAGACGCGCAAGAGAGAAGATGGATGGAATGATGAGACAAGACATGGGGATGGTATGATGGTGGTAGGTTGGTGTGCAATGATTCCACTGATGGCATGCAAGTGCAATGAGAGAGATCCCATGAGCAAGGAGCATGGATAAGCATGGGATGAGAAGACGCGTCAGTTGCATTGGTAAATTGAAAAAACAGTTGACATCATGTGGGTAATGGCGATCACGTGGGTCATGAAGTTTCACAACCATTGAGGCGAGTTACAATGACCTGTAAGGTGTCCCACGTTTGAAAAGCCAGGTAGTCGTCTGTAACACTATCAGGGTAACCCTGCAACGACAAACAAAGCAGAGAAAGGAAGGAGAAGGGAAGCAATGCACAGCATATCTTTGGTTCAGCACACTAAATAAATTAGTACGTTTGCTCCTCTCCTCCTCCAGGGGCATCTGGGGCATCTAGTAGCGTTGGACCACGCACACGTGGTCTGAGACATGCCCTTGATGACACGTGTAGATACACGTGTGTGCATCTCGCATTAGAACGACTGGCGAGACAAAAGCACAAGGCTATGTGGAATTTAAAGACTCTTCCCAGATGAAAAAATCGCTGATCCTGCTCCTCTCCTTCTTGGCAGCATTGACCCCCATTCCCTCACACTCCTCCCCTCTCCGCGCACCTCTGGCAGGAACGCCCCGCGCAGTGTGCGCGTGAGGGAGCCGAGCGAGCCACTGCCGCGCGCGGACCTGGAGAAACGGCGGAGCGGGGAAGTTAAGCGCGGGGAAACGGCGGATCGCGGAAGTTAGGCGCGAGGGAACAGCGGAGCGCGGAAGTTAAGCGCGGGGAACGGCGGAGCACGGAAGTTAGGCGGGGGGGAAACAGCGGAGCATGGAAGTTAGGCGCGGGAGGATGTCCAAGCGGAACATGAGCAAGCGACCTTTGAGTTAACTTAGAGTTTCGAATCTAAGGCGCGGGGGGGAGGGGCTGGGCCGAAAAGGCGCAAGTGAGACCACAGTCAGGGCAGTCTAGACAGTTTCGCGTCCGCGAAAGCGCAGTCGACAAGCGGGCCTGATCGCACCCGACGCGAAGGAGCAGTCGTCCGACGCACGACGACGGTAAACTCACGAGAAATGAGCAGCGATACGCAAAAATGAAGGCAATTCTACGCGAACTGTGGGGCGAGGCGCACTTGAGAACGCGAATGGACGATGGTGCGTCCATGAGACCAGCTAGCGCCGCGGGCACCCTGCCGGTCCTGCTGCCTCCGCCGCCGCCGCCGCCGCCGCCGCCGCTGCCGCTGGTGTTGGTCTCCTCGACCCAAATAGCTGTACGCGACGCATTCGGACCGCGACCGAAGACCTCCTCTATAAGCACATCTCCGGTTAGCGAACGGTCCGGTTTCGTGCTGTTCGCCATCACGTCACATCCAACTTGACACGCGGGTTTCGCAAGAACAAGGCCCGCTTACAACGCGGACGTTAGGTCTGCATCGATGCAGAATATGGCGGGAATGAGGTGGCTGATGCGACACTATTTCAGCGACAGATCTGCTAGAGTCTCCTTCCGTTCGACATCAGTTGTCAGAGCAGTTGTGTTTCTTCTAGATCGTTTCTGTACGTTCTTTGTGGTCTAGTTTGTTGCGTCTCGGTGCAAAACGGTACACTCCAGAAGAGGCATTCCAACCGTGTGGAACCGTCCTGAGCCACGAAGTCTGAACTGAACTACGGACGCGGTAAAAGTAGACGATCGATCGTCGGTCGAGATCGATATGCAGATCGGTTACCCTGCTAGCTATGATGTAACCATACTACAGTCCCTTCTTTGGCCAAAATTTCTGCACAGTGTGTGAATGCGACTGATCACTGATCGCGGGAGATCTGTCAATTCTCAGTGGCGTTCGTTACAACGTCGCGATCGCCACGTTTCGCCAATCGATCTGCCCAATAAATTGTGGGGCTCGCTATTTGCAGACGATCCTGCGATATTTGCACTCTTACCGCGTCCTAAATGTACGACCCAGGCATCTCCTAGCCACTCGCCATCTCCTGCATTCAGTCCAGCCATACTCCTCCACGGGACGGTGACTTTGCCGATTCGTTCGAGTCACATAATAACGCTTTTCCTCCTTACTAGAGAGAGCGGCAGGTCATCAAAGTTACACCCATCCACCCCGATCCGGTGCTACAAAATTCCACAACCCCGAGGATTTCAGACAAGTACGCTTCCATCAGTTTTAGGCGCATAATCTTGCAGCCTCGATCTTACCGTGAATAGGGTAGACCCATCATGACATGCGTTAAACCCGCGTTTTCGCGTGAAATGCGGTGTTCGAATGCGTGCCTTTTGCATGATTTTTCGCGACTCTGAGCACCACGATGACTAATAGCTCAACCCGACAGCTTTTTTTCCGGGAGACCTAGCGTGAATGCACGAGCTAAATGTCTGAATGCATAAATGCATGAATGCGATGGACTGACGGGGAAGCCATGATGGCGAGAAGGTCTTCGTCGCGGGGAGGGCAGGCCGGCGCCTTCCCCGCGGCTCTGTCCACAGACCATCGCGGAAGCTTCCGCGCCGACGACGCCGAGCGCAAGGCGCACCACCCCTCCCTCCACAAGCTCCCCCGCGGCGCGCGCGTCGTTCTTTTAGCCGGCACCGTTATAGTCACGCTCCTCGGTTTTGCCGCGTTCGCGCTCTCAGGGTCTTTCCGCCAAGCCCTGATGAGTCAGCTCCGCCCATCCTCCGCCAATCCTTCCGCCGACCTTGCGCTTGAGGTCGATTCCACAGCTGTTGCCCGCGGGGATGCGCAGGTGGCGGAGGAGGGAGTCGGGGAGATCCGCGCAGCGGAAGGGGAAGTTACCCAAGCGGAAGGAGAGGGCGGAGCGGAAGGGGAAGGGGAAGGCGGAACAGAAGGGGAACAGCAAGGGGGGGCGGCGGGGGATGGGGAAGTGGGGACGCGCGGGCATGAGGGCAGGCGGAGAAAGAACAGGAAGAAGCGGAGGAGGAGGCCAAGGGTGGTGAGGGGCGATCGCGACAAGTGGGTTACCGAGTTACGGAAGAAGCCGTCGTGGCGAGTCGTCAGTGGCTTCCAGGTGGGCGTTGTGTTGTGTGCTGGATCCGCTTTTGGATCTCCAATCTGCTCACCTCTGATCACCTCTGCTGAACAATCAGCAGGGTCAAATGGGCGTTCTGAACCAGTGGGCTACCGAGCGAACCCACGATCAAACTTTGATTCTCACACACTCAGCCTCCCCTGTTTGCTCCTTTGTGTCGCATTCTGGCTCTTCTTTATGTCCAATCCCTGACTGTCCAATCCCCGACTATTCATATCTCTGGTCGTCCAACCCCTAGTCCTCTCTGCTGTGACTCGCTTGCCCCTACCCCTTACCAACCAGGGCGTGCCAGCAACGCACCTCATCGCGGACTCAAACTCCCTCGCCTGTGCCCTCGTGGTGCGCCGCGCCTGCCACTTCTGGTCCCCCTTCGGCCTCCCCAGCCCCTCTTCCTCTGCCACTGCTGCTGCTGATTCTGCTGATGGTGGTGGTGCTGATGCCGCTGATGTTGGTGCTACCAGTAGTGACAGTGGGGGTAAAGTCACCACCACCCACGGGCACTACAGTGGGTACTGGTACAGCATGGACGGCAGGGACTTGTCTCTTCTGCGCTCCCATGAGGACGTGTGCGGCCACGGCACCAGGCAACTCCCCAAGCCGTTTTCGCCCAAGAGATTTGGCACCACAGACAAGTACGTGTGATTTAGCCAAGTATGGCAATTCGGTGACGTCATGATCTCAAATGGCATGTCAGTGAGGTGCAGGCGGGGTGCAGGTGGGTGGCAAGTGGGTGGCAAGTAGATGACAAGTGGGCAGCAGGTGGACTGTAGAGACAATGGCGAATGTGGTCGTCTACTTGCTGCTTCACAGCAGCGTCTGCATGTGGTCGTTTGCACTTTCCTTGCAAATCAGCAGCATGTGCATAAGCAAATCCGTGTCTCCTATTGCATGGCATGGCATGGCTTGATGGCATGGCATGGCATGGCATGGCATGGCAGGATTCAGGAGAAGATGGGCATCTTTCTGTCAGCAGAGCAGCGCGATCAAATACTGCAGCAGCAGTGCAAGCTGGGTCACAAGGTGATGCTCTTGCTCCCTTCGCAAACTGATGCTCTTACCCTACCACAAAAGAAGAAAAAGAAAATGAGATAAAGAAAGAAAGAAAGAAGGGGGAAAAAAAAAGGGGGGGAAAAAAAAAAAGCGACCGCAGCCCAGGGTGGGAGGGAGGCAAGATGATGGTTGTGCTGTGCGTGCCATGATGTCCTTCCTGACCCCTCATCTCCCCACCCTACCCTACCCCCTATCTCCTGCTATTTCTCCCTCTTTCCCTTCTCCACCCCAGCCGCCAGAGTGGGCAGATGTGACCTCCCCCGGGCGGCAATTACCCAGGTACCGCCGGGCAGTGATGTCACCGCACGACTCGTTCCTGGGGCACTTCTGGGAGCGCGTGGGCGTGCTGGCGGAGCTGCTCCTCGCCCTCCATGAGTCCCTCTCCCTCCCCCCGCCCTCCCCTCCCCCCTCCCCCTCTCCCCCACCTCCTCGCCCTACTGGTGTGTGGGAGGAGGGAGGGGAGGGGGTGGATGGGGAAGAGGGTAGTGGGGGTGGTGGCGCTGGTGTTGGGGAGAGCGGGGCGGCAAGCAGAGGGGAGGGAGAGGAGGAGGGGGGAGTGGGGGAAGGTGCAGAAGAGAGGGATGGGGTTGCTGTGTCCATCACTGCTTCTTCAACTGCTGGTGCTGGTGCTGCTGGTGCTACGGATGCTGCTGTTGGCGATGCGTTCACTCCAGTGGTGCTGACTCCCTCGCCCCTCACGCACACTGCAGTGATGTTTGGCACCGACACTGATGGTACGGTATGGGGCCGTTCTGGTGGCATGGGGTGACGTGGCATGGGGTGACGTGGCATTGGTTGACGTGGCATGGGTTGACGTGGCATGGAATAATGCGGCATGGCATGGTAGAGCCGGATTGCTTCCTCTCCCTTCACACACAATGCATAGGTTTGACACCGACACTGATGGGGTAGGGCATGCGGACGTCCTTTTTTACTACGCTCCCTTTCTTGCCCCTCCTCTTCTCTTCCCCAGCATCCTCTCCCTTTCTTTTCCTTCCGCTTCCTGCCGCAAACCCATCCCATCCCTCTCCTGCGTGTAAAGTGAAGTCGGCACGTTCGCCGGCAATCTGAGCCGCATTCTCTTTGGCGCCGCCACGCCGCTCATTCCCGGGCGCCGCCTGCACTGGGGAGATGAGCCACACCTTTGCTTTGGAGAGGTCATCTTCCCTCTTCACACCGCCTATTCCACGTGAGTGACGAGTGTTGCTTGCTGCATGCTGCACATGCGCCACATGAAACACACACAGCCCATGTAGCACAAGGTATATTCTGTGTAAGCATGTCATCCGCATTCACCTCTGGCCACTGCCTGCACTGGGGGGATGAGCCGCACCTGTGCTTTGGGGAGGTCATCTTCCCTCTGCACACCGCTTATTCCATGTGAGCCGTCCCTGCTGCACGCTGCACTCAGAGATGTCGGAAAGAGCATGGAGCACCTTTTCTTTGCCATTTTTGTGTCGCATGGTTCTTTCATACTCTGTCAGCGTTAGATATTCGTCGCTTTTGTTGCTCTCTAGTCCTCGTGCAAATCTCATCGTTCTGCATCCCTCTGCACACCTGCCCACATGGCCCTTCCTGTACCTGCTGACATGCTCCCGCTACTCACAGGAACGCCACAGAGTATGTGAGGAGGAAAGCGTATGCCTGGGCTGACGCCCGACTCACTGCCGCCGTCACTGGCGCCCCTGCCGATGATACCGGTGATGCTGGTGGTGCTGCCACTGGTGCTGATGCTGGTGCTGATGCTGGTGGGGAGGAGGAAGCAGACTCAGAAGATGGAGAGGAGGCAGGGCAGCGGCTGCAGCAGTGGAGGGAAGCGGAGGAGAAGCGCAGAGAAGAGCAGCTGTCCAAGCTGCCTTCTCCATTGCAGGTGAATTGATTCATGCCATGCCATGCCATATTATCACACCATGCCACGCCATGTCAACTGAACCGGACCATGGCTTTCCTCTGTCATCCAGCAACCTCCTCTCCCTTCTCACTCCTTGTGAAACCGCTTTCTTTCTGCTGCTTTTTTCCTCCTGATCAAATATCCGTCCCGCCTACTGTGTCCACTGCAGGTGACATGGCTGTACCGGTCGAATCGCCGCACGATCACGAACGTGGGAGACGTGCTGCAGCTGCTCACAGCACACTTCCGCATGCCCATCCACATCATCGAACTCTCAGAATCCACTCCGTAATATGTTGTAGTTACTTGCCATGGAAAATATGTGTGAACCAAGGCATTATTCGAGGCGCCTCAAGAGGACACATTCTCGAGGTTTCTGAGTCCATGCCTTGAGACCACGCCCTCCCTGCCTCAGCTGTGCTGCCATTGAATGTTTTGTTCCTCTTCCTGCTTCTGCCCTCAGACCCCAATTTTTTTTATTCCCACCCATACCCCTCACCCTCACCCTCATCCTCACCTTCACCCTACCCATCACCCTCAATTTCACTCTGGCACCTACTCCCCTCCCTCCCTGCCCATCCCCATCTCACAGGTTTGACCAGGTTGTCAATACTATGCACCACATGGCCTTTGCCATCGGCATGCACGGATCTGCTCATCCCCTACAAGTACCGCTACTTCCCCTACCTCCCTCCTCCACCATGTGCCCTGCAGGTTCGACCAAGTGATGAACACGAGGCGACATACACACTCATTTTCACACCTCTCCTTCACCCTCACCCTCACCCTTCCCCCACCTTCCTCTCTCCTCACCCATCACAGGTTCGACCAGGTGGTTCACACGATGCGCCACACGGCCTTTGCCATTGGAATGCACGGCTCTGCCCTTGCCAACCTCATCTTCCTCCCCTCAGGGGCCTCCTGCCTCGAGCTCATCCCCTACAAGTACCGCTACTTCCCCTACCTCTCCATCGCCCCTCTTTTCAACATCAACTACCACCAGTGGACCAACGAAAAGCGCGAATTCGCGTCGTTTGATGACGGGTGTTTTGAGGGGAAATGGGCGAAGCTGAGTCCGTCAGACTGCTGGAAGTTAAAGCCGTGTTTGCGCTGTGTGCGGGACCATGCGCGCACGCATGTGGATCCCGAGAGCATTGGGCCTGTGCTGGCTGATATTGGACGCGAAGTGCGCATATGGATTGGCATGTATGGCTTGCCCGGTTCCTGAAACACCATAGCGGTGTATGATACTTAATCCTTCAACATCTCAGTTGAGACTTAGGTACCGTAGTGAGTATATGTACAAAAGGAGCAGTGAATGTAGGTTATGGTTTGCGAGCACTTGCTTGATGCTAGCCGTTCAAATAAATATGCGAGTGGCCTTGCTGCCACCACGCTTATTACCATGATCATCCAGCATCTACAACATTCCATACACTTCAGAATCCGCCTCGCTATAAACAACCCTCGCACCGAGCACCACCTCACAATAAGTAAAGCAATGCATCAAACGCAGAGACCACTCAAGGAATAGCCATCACACTGCCCACAGCCCGGCACAGTCACACCCCTGTTCGGCCATCAACTGGCAAAGGGGAAACGGTTGCTGCAACCCTCTCCCCTGAACAGCTTCTCAGCCTGCACTGTGCTGCCACCTCTTGACTCAGCCCCGCCAGCCACTCTAGAGTCGACTCAATAGTCATCTCTATGCACATCCAGCCGAATGACTTCAACCATCGCCCCTCACCTGCTTCTTTTCCTCCACCACATCTTGACTCACTCATTCCAGCCACCTTGAGTACCGCTTCCCTATGCTCTGCCGCCAGCCGCAATCCTCCCCTTCTCCCACACCATCCCACAACAGCAGCTCCTGCATACAGACGCGACTGCACCACTCCAACCCTCACCGGTTGCTTCTCAGCCGCCGCCGCTCGCATTGCTGCAACCCTCTCCCTTCACCCTCTGAACAGCCTCCACCACCTCTCGACTCAGCCCAGCCACCTTCGTGAGCACCGCTTCCCTATGCCCCGCTAGCAGCCGTCTCCCACAGCACACCAAGAACTTATCCATATGCCAGAACAGCAGCGCCTCCTTCATCTTCCTCTTCTTCAGCCCAGGTGAATCCCCAGGAGAAAGAAACAAGCAGTTGCCTGCTGGCGGCCAGGGGATGTCCCAGAAGTGGAGTGGCGTGGTGCCAGGGGTGTGGCTGCTGGCCACACCGGCTCTGGCTGCTTGCTTCCGGAGCTGTTTCAGCCTGCTTGAGTATTTCTCGTAGGTCATTGGCGCACCTGAAGGGACATGCATGCACGCACGTATGTGAGCACACATAAGCTCATATGAAAAAAATATGAGTACGTACAAATACATGAGCATGACACCTCTTTCCAAACCCCCATCCCCCCCCCCCCCCACAATCATGCAACCACCATCTGAAATCATCCATAGATTGGATACACACATGCAGCAAAAGCATGCCATGAAGCCAAACCAAGAGCAGAATAGGAGCTTCCTAAAACGGGTGTGCAACGACTATCTCAGTGCAAGCAGCCATATGGCTCTTCACTCGTTCTCACCTGAGTGGCGCCGTCGACATTCCTCCTCCAGACGCTCCATCTTCTCATCCACTGCAGCGTCCTCCGTCATTGCCCTCCGTTGCTCCTCTTCCTGCGCTCGCCTCTTCTCCTCCTCCTTCCTCGCATCCTCCTGAGCCTGCCTCTCCTCCTCCTTCCTCCTCTCCTCCTCCTTCCTCCTCTCCCCCTCCTTCCTCCTCTCCTCCTCCATCCTCATCTCCTTCTTCGCTTTCTCCCTCGCCTCCTCCTTACCTCTCTCCTCCTCCTTCTTTCTCCTCTTTTCCTCTTTCTCCCTCGTCTCCTTCTCCCTCATCTCCTTTTCCCTCATCTCCTTTTCCCTCCTCCTCTCCTTCTCCTTCGCCCACCTATCTTCCTCCCGTGCCCTCTTCCTATCCCTCATCTCAGCTTCCCGCTTCACCTCTTCCCGTTTCCTCCTCGCAGCCTCTGCCTTGCTCCTCTTGACCTCCTCCACCTTCCTCTTTTTTGCCAGCTCCCCTTCAATCCGCGCAATCCTCTTCTGCACTGCAGCAAGAGAGGCTTTCGTTTTGACCTCCCACGCCCGCAGCAGGGTTTTGTAAGTCGCAAGTACGCTCGCTGGAGCGTCCTTGGGGGGAGGCGGGGGCGGGGGACCCTGATGTGATGGTTCGGGTGGGCGGGGGTGGAAAGAGGGAAAGTGGGAAGTGGGGGAGGGGGTTGAGAGGAAGAATAAGGAGGAGAAAGGAGAAACACGACCGGCAAACGTGGGTCTTGAACCCGGGGAAGGATCAGGCATGCAAAATAGGGTTTGATCAAACAGGGCTGAGAGAGAAAAGCAAGAGGAAGAGGATGAGAAGGGAAGAGGTGGAGAAGGCGGGAGGAGAGGGAGGAGAGGGAGGAGAGGGAGGGGAGCTCGGGGAGACTAGACAACGAGGACAGGTGGCAGCAGCACTTACAAAGGCCTCACTATCGCGCTGCTGCTGCTGCTGCTGCTGCTGCTGCTGCTGCTGCAGCTCCTGGTACTGCCGCTCCAACTCCTCCATTTTCGCCCTAAACGTTTCCTCCACTTCCCTCCTAATCTTCTCTTCCCTCGCAACATCAGATGCAGCAGCAGCATCAGCCGAAGACGCAGCATCAGCCGAAGAAGCAGCATCAGCCGAAGAAGCAGCATCAGCAGAAGCAGCATCAGCAGGAGAAGCACCAGCAGAAGCAGCATCAGGAGGAGCAGCTGACTTATCATCCTTCTCACTCTCTTTCAGCATGCCGTCTGTACAGTCCCCCCCCTCTCGTTCCACCTCCTTCCCTTTCCTCAAATGCTCGTCTGCCACCTTCTCCTGCTGCTCCTGCTCCTGACTCGCCTCGCTCTCCCCTGTTTCCTTGCGCATTGTTGCCCGCTCGTCCATTTGCTGCTGCTTCGACTCCCTCCGTTCCATTCGTTGTCGCAGTGTCGCCGCCCTATCTCTATGTACCTGCGCAGCCGCCACGTCGCAGCCCAAAACAGAGAGTCAGAACGCATCACATAAACGGGAAATTATCGGATCACACAAAGCACTCACACCAACACATTATTAGTCCGCATGTGGTACACAGTACACTTACCACGTGATAAAAGTTGGTTTTTAATACGTCTCAAAACACAGTACACTTACCTCGTCCTGCTGTTGCTTCCTCCGCATCTGCTTCAGATCCTTCAGTCGGCATGCAAGGCACTTCTGAGGGATACAGGGCAGCTTTCCGTCCTTGACAGATGAGACGAAGTCATTGAGCCGTGCAATCTCCAGATGCTGATGATGGGAGCTTACGGTGCAGGCCACCTGGAGGTTTTTCCCAGAGCCTTCTCCTCCATCCACGTCCAGAAGAAGCTGCGTCAACTTCCCTGTTTTGCCAGAGAAGTTCAGGAGACGAGCAATGAATGAATACGTCAGAGATAAACACGGATCGTTTAACCTTTGCTTGCCTGGAGATCAAACGCGGAGCGAAGGGCTCCTATCAGTCGTTTCGAAAGTGGCTCAGGCAAAAGCGAGTGAGGTTTGAATTGCCTGAGAACTAAAACGCGAGAAAAGAGACGGAAAGAAATGGAAGTTGAGTGACGGAAAGAATGGGCACGGAAACGAGAGGCAGACAGACAGGAGAGAAGTATCGTCATCCCAAATACCTTTTCCAGAAGATGACGATTGAAGGTTCAGCCCTCCGATGTGGTGGACGGCGATGGTTACCCCAGCACTGGCGGCGTTACAGCCAGGCCGTGCGATAAATTGCAGAGCCAGCGCCGTGTCTTCTTCACCGTTTTTTTCAAATACGGAGCCCGATTCGAATCTTGTTAAATCTATGAAGCCTCCTTGGGGGGGAATCTGGCTTCTCGAGATGCGAATCACGGCAAGGTGGCCTTTCCGAACGCGCTTTGAACTGCGTTCAAAAGCTGCTGTGACATTAAAGCACCCGACGTGCTCGGGTTCCCAAAGCGGGTTCACGACCATGACGATGGTCGTCGATGGGTCGTGAATGAAGTCGGGAGGGACACAGGTGATGGCGACAGGTGACGATTCGAGAAATGGAAACTCTAATGCGCAGCGTAAAGAGACCCGTCGATATTTCCGGATGCAAGTGCGAACTTCGGTCAGGTGGCTGGTGGTATGCGAGGCCTCGTAGTCGGAGGTAGCGACAATAAGATTGCACGAAAACAACTCACGAAGAGGTGAAGTCTGCGTCAATGGATAGAATGAATTCATAGATCTATAATTGACCGGCAAAAGTGGCCGTCAATGTGCTCCTACCAACCAACCAGTGGCGTGCTTGGACGAGGGCATACTACCTATATTCAAGCGTGTAAAAAGCATCGCCGTCAATGGAGAGACGTGACGACGACAGGATGACATGACACACGACAATGTCCCTTCAGACCCGAGTCGTCGGATGGTGCAGAGCAGACACGGTGCCAAGAGGGACACCGAGCTTGGCGGGACCAGTAGTGGCGCAGTGCGCGAGCCGCCTTGACGTTTCTCCGCTGGCAGAGAAGTCAGGAGGTTCGGGGATGGGCGCCAGTTGTGGGGGAGTGGCGGGAGTGAAAAAGGCGGAAATTCAATATAAGCTGTCCCAGTCATACCACTGGGGAAATGTTTCCAATAATGTGGCTGTAAGAAGCTCATAAAGAACCAGATAAAACGTAAAGCTTCTATGTCCTTTCACTCCCTACTACCTTCCTCCCAACAACTCTTTCTCGTGTCTCTTTCAACCTCTCCTTTGTTGTGGAAGGCGGAAAGCATTTATTCTCGCTGTACCTTGACCACATTCTTACGTAATGCGTAATGTGTAATGCAATTCTTACGGACCGGTCCATCATTGTTTACTAAACACACAGCAACATCCAACAATGTGGTAGCTGCGAACACTGTGAATCATGACACTACCGTACCTCGAGTCTTATCCATGCTTAAATATTCATTCAAAGCCAAATTATGCAGCCTTCCTGTTATGTTGCATAAAACGGAGGGCCAGGTATGTGCCAATCCGGCAACAAATGCAGAATAGGATGAGGAAGAGCCAGTCGTAGTCATATTCAGAGCGGATTGAACAGGCTGTAGATACGTATGTCCGTTGAAAGCTGCTGCTTCCCTCGTTACGCAGACACGGGCAATCGTGGCACGATGAAACAAGTGTAGCACAACTCGGACTCACACAACTAGGGCTTTTGGTGTCGCAGTAGAAAGCTATGGCGGTCATAACATTCAATGCATACTGCAAGCAGATGGTACAGTGAACGACATGTAAGACCATAGAAGCAAGAGTAACTTGTCAGAATGTGATATTTGTATAGTCTGTAGTGGGGTACTCTATAGTGAGTACAGCCCGATTAGGGTTTCCTATTTGTATCCCAACTCCCTGCTAGTGCAACCCCTCTTCCTTTCTTTTCTGTTCTTGCCTAGTATTCTCAATATGGTTTCAAAGTGTCTACGCTCCTAGCCTGTGGGCCCACATGCTTCCGCTGCTGTACTCTCTGTCGCGCGCCCCGTGGCGCGCGACGTTTTTTCTTCCCGCCACGCGCTCGGGGCGTGTGGCGGTTTCCTGCCCGCCGCACGCCCCGGGCGCGCGCAGCGGTTTCACGCTCCATCGCGGCGCCCCCGGGGACCCGCGCGCCGCCCCCCGTCGCCCGTCGTGGCGCCCCCGGGGACCTGCGCGCTCCCCCCGTCGTCCGTCGCGGCGCCCCCGGGACCCGCGCGCCGCCCCCCGTCGCCCGTCGTGGCGCCCCCGGGGACCTGCGCGCTCCCCTCGTCGTCCGTCGTGGCGCCCCCAGGGACCCGCGCGCGGCCCCCCGTCGCTCGTCGCAGCGCCCCAGGGGACCCGCGCGCCGTCCCCTCGTCGCCTGTCGCGGCGCTCCCGAGGACCCGCGTGCCGCCCCTTGACCCCGTGCGCCGCGGGGCTGCTTCCCCCCCCGCCCCTCCCCTTTCTCCTTCCTCTCCCTCCTGCGCGTGCGACTATGGGGGTGGCGGGTATGGGGGTGGCGGGTGTGTGAGCCGTCCCCTGCTCCTCCTCCTCCTTCGTCTCCCACTGCTACAACTGACGCTGAGGGGGGTGGATGTGTGGGAGCCGAGGGAGTGGCGCTAGGGGGGTGCCGTGGGAGTGGAGCTAGGTTTGCATAGGGGGGTGTGTATAAGGGGGTCTGCGACAGTGGGGGAGGTTGAACGGAGGTAGCCGTTGTGGAGCCAGCAGCGCCAGTAGTCCGGATGCCCTTGCTCCGGTAGCCAGCGAGCCCGTTGCACCAGTCGTCTGTGGGTCCGTTGCTCCAGCCGCTCGTCGTAGCCGCGGAGCTAGTTACTCCAGTAGTCCAGGGCCCTTGCTCCGGTAGCCCGTGTGCCAGTTGCTCCAGTAGCCCGTGTGCCAGCAGCTTCAGTCGCTGCCTCCAATCTCCTCTCCTCTCACGGTCCCTCCTCCTCCTCACGTGTCCTCTATGTCTCCCACTAGCTTTGCTAGAGAACTTATTGTGTGACTGCTTGCTGTGCTGATTATACCCCACTTTGCCTATGGGGGTGTGTCAGAATGTGATATTTGTCTAGTCTGCAGTGGGGTACT